CTTTTGACTTCTGCTTCCTTGAGTTGAAATCATTGCAAAGTAAAGAGTCTCATTAGACAGAGACCCCAACAAGAAGTTCTCTGCCCACTCTACTAAACTGTCCCCAGGTATCAGAGACTCTTAGATTGGGCCTCACTTGGGTCATATTCTTCTTTTCTCAAAATCTCTTGGAATCCTAACTCTGTTCATTGACATCTGCTGGAAGGCGGATCCCCCTTTATTGCTGTGCTCTTGTTTATTGTTTTGTGACATTTGTTATCAGGCTAAATCTAACCTCTAGGCCATCATGGAAGTTGTTGATAAAGATGTGGGCGTGGAAGCTAGAGCTCAGAGCCTGGTGGCTTCCTCCTTCAGGCCACCAACCCATCAATTTTTCCACCCCATCCCTGGTCTTCATAGGATCCCAGTTTTATAGAAGGGCTTCAGACCCTGCCTCCTATTCCAGTGTCTCCTCTAGGAGCTCGTCCTGTCCAGGGGAAGATGGCCTGTGTACTGGGCATTTGTGGGCAGCATCTAGCATTGATTTCTTCTGCCATCAGCACCCAAACTCTACCCCTGTGTTCTTAGCTGTGGTTTCCTGCAATGTTTAAAAAGACTTTATGGAAGATTCTGGAATAATGGAAGGGATAGCAACATGGAGCATCACCAACAGTTACCTTACAGAAGAGCAAGATCAAGCAGATACAAGCAGTAGACACATGAGAGGGAACCAGAGGACCACCGGGTGGCTGTGCTCAGAGCTCCTGGGGGTGGCTAGAAGGGGTATTTCCAAAAGGGGCCCTTGAGCATGTCTCCTGTGTTGTTCAAGAAAAAGTGGGTGTCCCAACCCCAGAACAGAGGGAGCACGGATTTACCTTTTCTCTGCTTTTTTGTTCTGTCTGGGCCTTCAACTGACTGGATAGTGCCTGCCCAGATGGGGTAAGGGGTTGGTCTTCCTTAGTCCACTAATTCAAATGCCAGGCTCTTTCAGAAACACCCTCATAGATACCAGAAATCATGCTTTACCAGCTATCTGGGCATCCTTAACCCAGTCAAGTTGACACCTAAAAATAACCATGACATCTCATTTTCCTCACCCCCTGGTTGTCCCCAGAGAAAGGGGCAAGAGTCCCTCTGCACAGTCTAATGCCAGGTGAGGTCCTTGTCTCCAGATGATGTACAGCAAAAGGCCTACCATCACACTGATGGCACAAAAACGGGGAGAGGTGGCTTCCTGGAGGGAAGGCTGGGCAATCCCTTCAGCAGCGGTGGGATGGGTGCTGGTTCCTGTATCTGGGGCCTGGCCAGACTCCCACGTAGGGTCACAATGTTCTGAAACTGTGCAATCTTCTGCAAGTCAAGTGGGCTCTCGGGGAAGGCCGCGGTGCAGGAAGAAAGCATAGTCGTCCCCTCCTTATTCTATATTGCATGTCTACCACTTGCTGCTCTCCAGGTGACTTCTGGGAACAGTCAAAAGATCAGTGAGCCCATCAGGTCTTCATTGACACGGGGCTCAGGGCTGACACAGAACGGGGTGTTAACTAAGCAACCTTCTGTGGTTGCAGAAGGTCCCTGAGTATGGTCTGGAGTTCGGATTAACAGAGGAAAAGATGTGGCAGGCCTGACTTGTTGGCCTCTCTCTTGTTTTCTGGCGGGGAGGGGAGGGCAGGTACCGGGAGTTGAATCCAGGGTGCCTAACCAAGGAGCTACTTCCCAACTCTTTATTTTCTGTGGGATTTGCGGTTCCACCTGGGCCTCCAGCACGCCAGGTACTTTTTGTGCTCTCCACGGAGCTCCATTCACAGCCCTTTCCTTTTGTATTTGGAGACAGGATCTCTGTAAGTTGCCAGGGCTGCTCTTGAACTTGCAGTCCTGCCCAGCCTCCTGAGCCACGGGGTCACAGTGTGCCCACAGTGCCCGGCGCTCTCCTATGCGTCCCCAGCTTTGGATTTCGCTAGAGCCTGAGCTCCAGCTTGGTGGGGGGTACACCCCGAGAACTTGTGTCCTCAAGGGTGGACTCTGCCCACCCTTGAGTCCTCGTCCAATCTTTGGGTGCCTCGGGTCTCGCATACATCTTGCGGGTCTGTAGGGGCTGGTGCGGCCTGTCTGGGACGGCAACAAGGGCCAGGCACCGCAGCCGCACAGGGGCCTGACGGCCGCCAGCGTCTGCAGGCCCCGCCCAGAGAGTCGGCACGTGGCTGCGCCCAGTGCAGCGCGTGGGGGGCGGGATTCACGGGTGAGGCGGGGCTTCAGGCCCGGCGCGCGTCCCAATTGGCTCCCAGGACTGCCTGTAAGACTGCACGTCGTCGCCTTTGGCTGCCTCGCCGCATTGCTGCTTTGGCGGGAGTTGGTGGAGGGTGTGAGGTGAGAGTAGGGGGGCTGTTTACGGGCTGGGCCACTCAGATCTGGCACTAGGCGGGGAATTGGGCCTGGCAACAGCGGGGCAGAGGACTGAGTGGAGCGCAGGCCACGTGGGCCTGAGGCGCAGAGGAGCCCCTCAGGGTAATTGTGGCAGCGGGTGGCGCCGGAGGGCTGTTTGCTCCCTCCTCGGCCTGTGGCACCCCAGGACGACCGGGTGTCCTTGGGGCAGCTCAGGGAGCGTTGCCGTGGGTCTGCGAGACCTTGAGCGCCGAGGGGCGCTCGGGGTGTAGAGGCCGCGTTGGAGCCTTGCCTCGCGAAATCAGCTCTCTCGCGGTACTTGGAAGGGCGCGAACGTCCTGGACTCTGCTTTGATCCCGGTCTGCGTTCTCAGATGTGCGCATGATACATGTGGTGGCGGGCGAGAGGGCTTGGGCTGCTGAGCAGAAGAGACAGTGGCCTCTGGGCTGCTTCCAGCCAAGGCCCAGTGGGTTACATGCTCAGAGATGTCTAATTGAACATTATTTTTACAGCAGCAGCGTCTGGAAACCCTGATTTTTATATAACAAGCTCTCTTGTTTCAAACGTTGGCCCTAATTCATAATGGTTTAGAGCATTATGTAGCCAGAGAAAATAGATATGAGAGAACTGCATTTGCCCCTTGGGATGCAGCTTGCAACCTCTGCTGTAGGTGTCCTGGGGAGGGGGCATAGGGCAGGAGCTGCAGAAGGCTCCAATTTCTTTCTTTTCCTTTTTTTTGTACTAGGGATTGAACCCACAGGCTTTTAACCACTGAATCATGTCCTCAGCTTTTTAAAATTTAAGTTTTGAGACAGGGTCTTGTTAAGTTGCTGAGGCTGGCTTTGAACTTGCGATCCTCCTGCCTCAGCTACCCCAGCCTCTGGAATTACAGGTGTTTTCCCCCATGCCAGACCCAATTTTTTTCCTTAATCTTATTTTGTGTCAGAGCCTAGCTAGATAGGCTCAGGCTGACCTCAAACTTTGGATCTTCTTGCTTCAGCATCTTGAGTACTGAGATTGTAGGGGGTGGACTCCTGTGCCCAACCCATAGTTCCCATCTTGAGACCTTGGGTCCTAGAAAGATATATCCCAGAATTGCCCTGGATTGTGTGAGCTGACTTAATTGGCAGATGGAAGTTACCCCTTGCCCTTGTCTTTTACACCACCCTTTTAGGATTAGCACAGGTGTAGTGTGGTTAGATTTTGAGAATGGGAGTAGTTTGAGGCTGGGGGGATGTAGATATCCTCCTTGCAAGGAATCAGGACTTCCCAAAGTGCAGCTTTGGCTTGGAGTCTCACTGTGCCAGCTGTCTGTAAATGGGGCTGTGAGTACAGTTTTGAAATGGAGTGCATTTGAGATGGGTCCCCCAGAACCTGTCGCTTGGCTTTGTTTCTCTGAGTTGTATAACTGGGCAGAGAAGGGGAGAGCTTGAGGAATCCCTGGAGAGGAAGGCACGGTCATGGAGCTCCTCCTTCCTGCAGAGTGATGGTGGCCGCACCGAAGACATAGTTTCAGCCCTTGCCTCAGGACACTTGGAGATGATGAGAAGTGAAACCTGAGCCTTGGAAGAGGGCTTGACATGGCTCTTTGGCCAGCAAGTTTGGACTGGGCAACTCAAGGAGGAAAGGGAGACCTAGAGTATTTCCAAGGCATCATGAACTTAAGCCATGGGAAGAATTCTGTGGGTGGCAGGAAGGGGAGGGCACTCCCACACTGGCATGTTCATAGTATTTTAGGGTGAGGAGTATAGATAATTAGGGGCACAGTGAGAGATCAGGGTAGAGGGATTTTTTTTTTTTAAGTTGTAGATGGACACGATGCCTTTATTTTATTTGTTTTTATCTTTTTTATGTGGTGCCAGGGACTTAACACAGTGCTTGATGCATACCAGGCAAGCACTCTACCCCTGAGCCACAACCCTGGTCCCAAGGGTAGAGGGAATTTTAGGGTCCAGTTTTTGGGCCAGGAGGGGTTCGTTGCTATATTATGCAACCTAGACATTTGCTAGTATGAGGGGTCTGTTGTCTACCATTTGATGTCTTCTGTGCCATATGAGACAGGTTTGATTGTGGAAATATCTGTTTCCTACCCAGCTGGATGAGTTTTCCTTGTGAATGGGTCTGTGCACCATTTCTTTGTTCTAAAGTCCACTGCTGTCCGTCATCTAGTAGCCAGTCACATTCCTGTAATGATTGAGTAGATAAAGAGCTGTCTTCTGGCAGAGAGGGGAAGAGCAGGAAAGCAGGACCTGGTGCCCTTGTGGCGATGATTATGTTCCTATTGGCAGTCCCATGCCCTGTCCTGCCAATCCAGTCCTGCACTTTCTCTCTGCACAGTAGCAGTCTCCGTCTCCAGTACAGGCCTGGTCAGTTCTAGGTGATGGCAGGGTAGGTGTTGATGGTAAGACAATCAATGCCTCTCATATTGATCTGAGAGGGACCTGATCTAGACACTGGGAGATGTTTAAAGGACAGACGGGTCTTTGAACTGAGCGAACTCCTAGCTTCCAGTATGGTTCCTCCTCACTGCTGCTCTCCTGGATGTTGTCTTTCTGTTCTGGGGTAGGACCTTGGAGTCACCTCAGGAGCTCCTGCGTTATGGCTCAGATTCCATATGGTTCTGTCTTCTCACCTTCCCATAGGTCAGGTTCCTACGGGAAGAAAGGTGGCTGGTTCTCAGATCTTGTAGACCCTCATGACCACCATGTTGAAATCCAGATCCCCAGTCCAGCAGAGGAGCAGCCATAATAGCCAGGAGGTAGTGTGGTCCCTCTCATTCTCATGATACCCTCTGCCCTCCTACTTCCCCTCCTGTGTCCCTAATTCCTAGTGTCTTCCTTCCCCTGCCAAGGATCTTAAGTCCTTTCACCTCTCCCTGTGGCCCTTTTCCAGACCAGCCTGTGGTCCTCAGGCTTTGGGATGAAGCTGGAGGCTGTCACCCCATTTCTAGGGAAGTATCGTCCTTTTGTGGGTCGCTGCTGCCAGACCTGCACCCCCAAGAGCTGGGTAAGTGTTGGTCAGGTTGGGCCCCACCCTAGGAAGCTCAGGTTAGCTTGGTTCTGGGAGCTGTGGTCCTGGGAAGCTGCTTTTTTTATGCCTTTCCAAGCATGGCCCTTCTCTGCCCCACACCTCTGCTTTTGTCTTTCAGGGAATGAAGGCACTGGTATTGGGTGTGTTGTTGGGCTATGGTTGGTTCCCAGGCCAGAGGGGCCAAAGGGAATACAGGGTGTGCCTAGAGGGCTGGTTTCTAGCCACATCTGCATGAGTACTGTGGGGACACCGTTAACTCAGACTTCCCCAGGCTCAGGCACATGGTTGAAGCCCTCTTGTGCACCCATGCTATGTGCTGGTGCTGAGGGGCCTGCAATTCCAACAAAGATCCAGGGCACATGTCCCTCTGATGTTGATGAGAGAACTTGTCCCAGACATTTTTGGGGGTGGGGGCACTGGGGATTGAACCCAGGGGCACTTGTCCACTGAGTCACATCCCCAGCCCTATTTGTATTTTATTTAGAGACAGGGTCTCACTGAGTTGCTTAGCGCCTTGCTGTTGCTGAGGCTGGCTCTGAACTCATGATCCTCCTGCTTCAGCCTCCCAAGCTGCAGGCATTACAGGTGTGCTGCAGGCATTACAGGTGTGCAGCAGCGTACCCGGCTCTCCCAGACTTTTGATACGCTGCTCTCTAGGACAGCAATTCCATATAGGATACAGCGCTTCTGTTTTGAGCATAGAACCCTTCTTCCTGAGCCAGCATCTGGATCTGGGTCAAATGTCTTTTGGAAGATGCTGTGCTGTAATTCTTTCTCCTGGTAGAATTGAAGGGCCACTTAAAGGGGCTGGGCAGGAACTCCTTGGCCCATGAAAAGGCCCTCCAGTACATGCTGTCCCTGCCCCCTTGGGCAGGAGTCCCTCTTCCACAGAAGCATAATGGATTTGGGCTTCTGCAACGTGATCCTAGTGAAGGAGGAGAACACCAGGTCAGAGCTGGGGGTGGCCAGGGTTCTTTTGGTGGAGGGTTGCTGGGTCCTGCTTTGTTATAAAGTGCCATTTTGTTCCTGTGATGGAAAAAGAATGGTCCCTGTCCAGCGCCTCATGCCCATAGTAGGGAGAGGCAGGTGAGCACGCTCGCAGCTCCTCCTGTGAGCATGTATGGATTGCCCACTGGGCGTCAGGCTTTGAACTTGTGCTCCTCTTGGTGGGGAGAGGGCTGGGACTAGGGCACAGAGAGGTGGTCTGTTCTCCCTGCTTTGCGATAAGCCATGCTCAGTGTCTTGGGAACAAGGGACTGGCTTGGTGTGATGGCTTTCTGAGGCATAGCCCCTTGTGGGCCCTGTGGGCGGCCTTCTCTGAATCACTGTCTCCCTTGCTCTGGGGTCTGTGCCCAGGTTTCGAGGCTGGCTGGTTCGCAGGCTGTGCTATTTCCTGTGGTCCCTAGAGCAGCACATCCCCCCCTGCCAGGATGCCTCACAGAAGATCATGGAAAGCAGTGGGTGAGGAGATAGGGTGGGGGTGGCCTGGCACTTCTGGATCTCTAAAGGGGCGGCTGAGAGGGCTGGCCGAGAGGACTGGCTGGGGCCAGGCTTCTAGAGTGCTGTCTTTGCCTGGGCCTCTTCTCAAGGAGGGAGAGTGAAGCCTGCAGCCAAGTCCTGGGGAGGCAGTCTGCTGCCTGCCTCACCCTAGCACCATTGCCCTGCACCCACAGGGTACAGAACCTCCTCTCAGGGAGGGCACCAGGAGGGGCCGGGGAAGGCCAGACGCCAGACCTTGTGGAGAAGGAGGTTCAGCGCATCCTGGGCCATATCCAGGCTCCACCCCGCCCCTTCCTACTCAGGTAACTCTGAACTGAAGGGCACTTGTCCCTGGGCTGGGGCAAGAGCTGGACGATATTTTTCTGAGTGGGCTGCAGCCTGCTGTCACCAGGTGCCTCCCTGCCCCACCCTCATGCAGTGCAGTTCTGTGTGCCTGTTAGATGCAGGACACTGGGACTAGAGGGGTGAATAGAGACACAACTGTAAGAAGGAAGGAGTGAGATGGAGGAACCAGTCATCAGGTGTTTCCCCAGCACCATCCGACTGCTCAGGGGCAGAGGGAAGGCGGGCAGCAGGGCTGTGCCCAGAGACTCTTTCACAAAGTCATTATTATCATGACGGGTGGAATCTAAGCTGGGCCAAGATGGAGGTGGCCAGAGTAAAGGTGGTCATGTCTAGACTCTGTCACAGTGCAGGGTTTGTCAAGGTCACTGGTGGTCTCTGCTTTCTGTTCTGGCTCAGTCACCACCACTCTGTTCACTGGAGGGGTGAACAGAGACACAGCTGTAAAAAGGAAGGGGCTGAGACAGAGACTGCTCAGAGCAGGAGGAGGCTTGTATGGCAGGACAAAAAAGGGGAAAAGGAAGCTGACTTTTAGGGTACAGAAGTGAAGTTGGGGGAGACAGTTTTGCTGAGGGAATAGCACTAGCAAGCCCCTGACCAGGAAAGGGTTGTGTTGCTCAAGAAGCTGATGTGGTTGGAAGCCAGCAAATAAAGGGGGAGAGCAGCTAGAGATGACTTTGAAAGGCAGAAATAACCAGATCATTCAGGGCCATGGAAGTTCAGGTGGGATCTCTAAGTGCAGCGAAAACCAGTTCAAAGGTATTAAGCAAGGAGTGGCAGCGTGATGAGGTGGGTTTCAAGTAGAGACCAGAAGAGCACTGGGAGAGCAGCTAGTCCAGGTGAGTTGTGATGGACAGTAGAGGTTGGAAAATGTGGATCAGGAGATCAAGGTGCTAATAATGGGACTCACTGATGGATTGGGTGATGGGACTGTGGGCAGGGAGGGGGAAAAGGGAGAAATCATAGGGGAGCCACCTGTACCCTAGAACCTGGTGGTACGTACAGAGTGGGATAGGCTTGGGGAGAAGGGAGTTGGCCCAGGAAGGATATTTTAGACTTAAAAAGTTCCAGCTCCTGACTGAGGATGCAGTTGCATAGATGGGTCTAGAGCTCAGAAGAAAGACTGGGGCTAGGGACGCACGTGTGCAGAGCTTAACATACAATTGGTGTTTAAAGCCAGGGGATGAGTGAGTCCCTGAGGGAAAGGGCTTAGGGTTGTGTATGTCAGACTTCGTTGTCTTAAGTACTGAGTAAGCAGAGGCCCGTTGGTGACCTTGACAAACCCTGCACTGTGACAGTTCCTAGACATGACCACCTTTACTCTGGCCACCTCCCTCTTGGCCCAGCTTAGATTCCACCCCTGTCATGATAATAATGACTTTGTGAAAGAGTCTCTGGGCGCAGCCCTGCTGCCCGCCTTCCCTCTGCCCCTGAGCAGTCGGATGGTGCTGGGGAAACACCTGGTGACTGGTTCCTCCATCAGTATGCATCTGCAGGTGCATTTGGCACTCTCAACGGTTCCCACCAGATTGTTCCTTCTCAGGAGATCAGCCACTGCCAGTGGACATCCTGCGTCCTGCCTTGTAGAGAAAGAGAAGCCATTGGGCAGAGAGTTCTGCTTGTTCACCACACCTTCCTGCCACCTGCTGCTACACCTCTGTCCTCAGTTAAAGCTGGTTTCCCAGCAGCCTCTGCACAAACTGCTTCCCACCAGTTTGCCCTCGTGGTGATGCCCTTTCCTTTTGTATCACTACCCCCACATTATTCCACCTTTCCTGTAGTTTTCAGAGACAGACTGGGCTCTACCTGGAGAAAATCTGGGTCTTGGTCTTCTTTGGGTGAATGGAGGCAGATGGCTGTGAATCTGACGTGAGCCAGTTTCACTATGAGGACTTGTGAGAGTATTGATGCCTCTGAGGGCCGGGTGTGACACCTGGCACCCACTCCTTTGCATCTTTACCACTAAGCAGAATGCAGCCTCTCTGGGCCTCACTTTCCTCTTCTGTAAAATGAGGACAGTGGTAGTGCCTGGCTCAGAGGAGTTCTAGGCGGCCCTCTGAGGTGTTGTGGGTTGAGCCTTGTGTCAGGCGACCCCTGCTGCATCTCAGGCTGGGTGTCACTTCCCAGGCTGTTCAGCTGGGTGCTGCTGCGGGTCCTGAACTGCCTCTTCCTGAACATCCAGCTCCACAAGGGCCAGATGAAGATGGTCCATAAGGCCGCCCAGGCGGTAAGGCCCAGCCCACACTGGGGTGAGATGCAGGGGCAGGGGCGAGGCGGAGCCCTGAAGTCCGGACCAGCCCCATCATGTGGTGGGAAAAATCCACTGCTCTCCAGCGACCTTCCCTTGTAGTCTCACGGTCCCGCTCCCAGGGGACCCGCTCCTAACATCTTTTCATCATGGTCTTAACAACCATGACATCAGTGCATTACCTTAAAAGTTTTGGGAAATGTACTCAGGGGAGGAGCTCTTCCGCTGATTCCTCTCCCACTGGGGCTCCTTGAATTTGCAGGTGATGGGGTTTGGCTTCCTGTGAAGTCAGGGTGGGAGCGGGTGGGCATTTCCCTCTGGCTCTCCCTGGAGCAGGGGTCTCCGCTGGTCTTCCTCTCTACTCACAAGTCGATCCTGGATGGAATATTGCTGCCTTTTGTGCTGCTCTCCCAGGGCCTGGGTGTGCTTCGTGTGGCTTGGGACTCCCGTGCCTGCTCTCCTGCTCTCAGGTAAGAGCCATGTGTCCCCCAGTCACATATGGGAGAAGTCCCAGGCTGGGGAAGGGTATCTGGGGAGGGGCATATGCTGACAGCAGCTCCCCAAAGGCCCCCTTCCAGGACCCTTGCTCCCAGCCATATGGCAGTCCATCCTGTGGGTCACAGATGGAGGGTCAGCTATGGGCTTCAGGGCCATGGCTGCCTCAGTACGTTCAGACAGGGCATAGGCTGGCTTTGGGTGAGACAGGCTCTCACTAGCCTCCAGCTTAGTCCCATCTCTGGAGCCCCTTCTATCATCGGCTCTTCTGTGCCCCACAGAGCCCTGCTGAGGAATATTGGGGGGCTTTTCTTGCCCCCAGAGGCCGACCTCTCTCTAGACAGTTCCAAAGGGATCCTTGCAAGGGCTGTGGTCCATGCGGTAAGTGCCCCCATTGGTCATATGTAAGCCAGGCCAAGGGAATAGGGCTCTGTTTCTGCTCTTGCCCTGACACCTGCCTCCCCCTCCCTCCTTTCCCAGGTCATGGAGCAACTGCTGGTCAGTGGGCAGCCCCTGCTCATCTTCCTGGAGGAGCCTCCTGGAGCTCCAGGGCCACGGCTGTCAGCCCTAGGCCAGGCCTGGCTAGGAACAGTGGTGCAGGCGGTCCATGTGGGTACTGTCCCAGATGCTATGCTGGTGCCAGTGGCCATTACCTACGACCTGGTTCCAGATATATCCTGTGACATGCATCAAGTGAGACCCTCCTGCCCTTTGGGATTCCAAGTGGACACCATCTCCAGACAGGCATAATGTTGTGTCCCGTGGCTGAGTCACCCTTAGGGCTGGGGTCCAAGTAGGGTGTGAGGTGTATCGTTCTGTAGCAGGTATCACAGCTATTATATCATTATCTCATTTCATTCTTGAAAAACCCCCTTAGGGTTGTTTCATGGATGAGAAAACGGGAGCGTGGAGAGGGCAAGGTCATGCTTGCATGAGGTTGGACTTGAGATAAAGTTACAGGCTGGGAGCAGAGGGCATCTCTGGAGAGCAGGACAGAGTAGGCAGCCCTGAGACCTGCCTGAGAATAGTGTCCCCAGCAAGCCAGGTGCTCAGCCTCTCCTCCCCACAGGCCTCCAGCCCCCTGGGGCTGTGGAGGGGAGCTCTGGCTGTCCTGCAGAGACTGCGCAGCTCCTGGGGCTGCCTCCACAGGGTCTGTGTCCGGGTGCACCTTGCCCAGCCCTTCTCCCTGCAGGTATGTAGCTAACTGGGCAAGGATGAAAGTCTACTATGGCTTTTGGCACCCTGGCCCTCAAACCCACTGAGGGAGAGCCTCTCCTGCCTCAGTGGTCTATGCAGGTTTCCTGTGGCTAGAGCAGGTCACCTGAGAGTCTTGTCCTGGCAGGAGTACACCATCAATGCCAGGAGCTGTTGGAGCGGCAGGCAGACCCTGGAGCACCTGCTGCAGCCCGTCGTGCTGGGCCAGTGGTAGGACAGGGGTGTGTGGGTTTCAGGGCCCCACAGGCAACCGTCCAGCTTTTGAAGTGGAACCCTCTCTCACCCCACTCACACAGGCATGTCAGCACCCCTGCCTCACATGCAGCATGGGGTCATGGATAATTCCAGATACTTGCCTATGGTCTGAGTGAGGCACATGGCCCACAGGCCTGGAAAGGGTGGGGGTTACAGGAGCCGTCGCCTGGGCTGGGCTGGGCTGGGCAGGGCAGGGCTGGGCGAACACCTTAGGTGAATGCTCTGGGCTTCCCAAACATGCCTGTTTTTAGATTTGGTCCCTTCATTCTTTGGTTTGTGTGTCTGTCCAGCACTGTTGTCCCAGACACAGAGAAGGAACAGGAGTGGACCCCAACAACTGGGCCCCTCCTGGCCTTCAAGGAAGAGGACCAGCTCCTGGTCAGGCGACTGAGCCGGCATGTCCTGCATGGTGAGGGGAACTGGGTGCCGGCCTTTGGGGAAGGTCCTACACAGTCCCTTCTCTCTGGGTTGACCAGTCATCAGGGACTCCTGTTTCAAATTCATGTCGGCACCTGACCCACTAACCTTTGGTGGCATACTTGGGACACGTGAAGAAGAATGGACCCTGCCCTTGCCCAAGGTGCAGGGCAGCTGGGCAGTAGCTGAATGCACACAGGCTGCCACCTGCACTAAGCATGTGCAGCACAAAGGCACATGCCCAGCTGTGGCCACCACATCAAGTCCTACCTGCCTGCTTTAGACTCATAGTGTCCCTTTACCTTATAGCCTTTAGCTACAAATGGTAAGGACATCTGAATGGAGTGGTACATGTAAGGGGCTTACCAGTGCCTACAGAGTCACATACTTGCAGAGGTCCCTTGTTACCCCCAGCCCCACCAGGCCTTACAGACCCAGGCAGGCCCCAAGCCCTAGGCCTGGCTTTGCATACGTGTGACCAGGGCCAGTTCTCCAGTCCTGCTCCCCTGCTGGGGTGGAGCTGTGTTGTGTGGCTGGGAAGACTTGCCAGATGACAGGGAGATCAGGCCCTTGACCAGCACCTGCCTCTGTCCCCAGCCAGCGTGGCCAGCTCGGCAGTGATGAGCACAGCCATCATGGCGACACTGCTGCTGTTCAAGCACCAGAAGGTAGGAGCCAGGGTGGTGAGGCCTGGTGGCCAGCTCTCCTGCTCAGCTCTGTTGTGTCCCATAGGGTGTGGTCCTGTCACAACTGCTGGGGGAGTTCTCCTGGCTGACAGAGGAGACGCTGCTGCGTGGCTTTGACGTAGGCTTCTCAGGGCAGCTGCGGTGCTTGGTGCAACACACGCTGAGCCTGCTGCGGGCACACGTGATCCTGTTGCGCATCCACCGTGGGGACTTGGTGGTGGTGCCACGGCCTGGTCCAGGCCTCACACACCTGGCACGCCTGAGTGCAGAGCTACTGCCTGCCTTCCTGAGCGAGGCTGTGGGTGGTGAGTCCCGAGGGTGCGAGTGGGTAGGGTGTGAGTGCAGGGTGAGGGGACCTACCCATTCACTCTCCCCTGCATCCACCAGCCTGTGCTGTGCGTGGGCTGCTGGCAGGCAGAGTGCCACCCGAGGGGCCCTGGGAACTTCAGGGCATAGAGCTGCTAAGCCAGAGTGAACTCCACCGCCAGATCCTGCTGCTGCTGCACCTGTTGCCACAGGACCTGTTGCTGCTGCAGGTCAGACCCGCCCATGGGGTCCTGGGCCCCTCCTGGGTTGTTGGAGGTGGCCCAGCCCTATCCTGCACCCTTCTGTGGTAGTAGTAGTTGTGGCCTTGCCCTGTCTCTGGCTAGGCCCCTGGCTTTCCTGGGGTCACACAGGTGTCCATCTCTCCTCAGCCCTGCCAGTCTTCCTACTGTTACTGTCAGGAAGTGCTGGACCGGCTCATTCAGTGTGGGCTCCTGGTCGCTGAGGAGGTAGGTGTGGCAGCTGGAGGCAGAGTCCCTGTGTGGGGCCTGGCTTGCTCCAGCCTCTCCAAGTACCAGATGCCCCCGACTCCTCTGTGCTGTGTGCTGTGGGAGTGGGCTGCCCAATGGCCCAGCGCACAAGGGAGCCTGACTCCACTGTACCTGCCCTGGGCCCACGAGTGTCATGACAGAACTGGTTGTGTGTAATGTTGGGGTCCCCTTCACACCTTCTGCCCTGGCCTGTGCGTGCTTTGGGGCTCCCTCCCTGGCCAGCCTGCCAGGGACTAATGGCTCTCATGGCTTCCAGACCCCAGGCTCTCGGCCAGCCTGTGACATGGGGCGTCAGCGTTTGAGTGCAAAGCTGCTGTGGAAACCGAGTGGGGACTTTACTGACAGTGACAGTGATGACTTTGAGGAGGCAGAGGGCCGGTACTTCAGGGTGTGTTGGGAGAAGCCACTCCAGGAGGGAGGCAGCAGGGGGTGCGGGTAGCTGCCCTCACCCTGGGCTCTTCCCCTTCAGCTCAGCCAGCAGTCACGCTGCCCCGACTTCTTCCTTTTCCTCTGCCGCCTGCTCAGTCCACTGCTCAAGGCCTTTGCACAGGCTGCCGCCTTCCTCCGCCAGGGACAACTGCCAGATACTGGTAAGGCTCCCCCTGTGCTTGCCGTGCTCAGGGCAGGGTTCTGCCCAGGCAGGACTTGGATCTAGGTCTTCCTTCTGCAGAGGCAGGCTATACAGAGCAGTTGTTCCAGTTCTTTCAGGCCACGGCCCAGGAAGAGGGAATCTTTGGTGAGTCCTAGCAGCCAGCGCAGGTTCCTCAAGTGGGGTGGATTTGCTGGTGGCTTCTGCCCCCTGCTGGCAGTGGTAGCCCAACTCCAAGAACTGACTACAGAGAGGGCCTTAGCTCCTGTTGTTTGGAGGGCCCCTCAGTCCAATCAAAGCCCTATCCCTGGGCTATTCCCTCTTTAAACTTAAACAAGAGGAGGAAAGCTGTGTCCTGTGGCTCCCCCTGAGCCTTCACTTCTCCTCTCTCTAGAGTATGTGGACCCAAACCTCGCCATCAGTGCTGTCTGGACCTTCAGAGACCTGGGGGTGAGAGGGCCAGTGTCACCATCCTCCTGCTTTTAACCTCTGATAGAACTGTTAAAGGAAACCAGCTGTGTCCCCCACCTGACAGGGCTGGCCCTGATGACACCGTAGACACTGGGATTTACCTAGGAATAGACATGATGAAGGATGAGGCAGTTTTCCTATCCATCTTGGTATCCTAAACCACTGGCTTTCCCTACTCCCAGGTGGGGTGCTGAGGGCAGCTGGAGAGACAGAGGCAGACACAGAGGCCTGAGGGGCCAGAGGTCTCACTGCAGATTTCTGAGAACCAGGTGTGGCTGTTGGCCCTGTGAGCACAGTCCCGTGTGGGAGTACTCACAGTCCCATCTCATGGCCTAGGTGCTGCAGCAGACGCCCAGCCCTGCAGGCCCCCAGCTTCACCTGTCCCTTACATTTGCCAGCCGGGACAATCAGGACAAGTTGGAGCAATTCATCCGACAATTCATCTGCAGTTAGAGCCATAAGGCAGAGCCCGATCTCAAAATGCCTCAACCCAGCTGTGTCCTCGAGACAGAAGACAGGAGGCTGCAGACCCCTGGCTGGACTAAGAAAAACTGTGGTTTGACAGTGTCTTGGGTTCTCTATCATTTGGTGTAATAAACAAGGGGAATGGACGAGTCCTCATTCTCCAAATCCCAGAGTATCCTTTGGGTGTGTGTTTTTATGTCCTCCTTCCCCAGTTCTGTGAAAATTCCCATCTTGCCCTCATAAAAGCCCGAAAAGAAGACAAGACAACAGAAGCTAAGCTAAGCTTCGACTTGAATTTATTGTAGAGCTCCACCTTCCTTCCTCCTACCTAGAGGAGCAGCACTGGGCCAAGTGGCACAGCAGAGGCTCCACCTTAGCTGGAGCTCATGAGGAAGCTGTCACACCACCTTGTTGATGATGCTGCCAAGTTCTTCAATCTCACACTGGACTTCGTCACCCTTCTGCAACAGCAGGCCACCAGGGTTTCAGCTCTGGCACACGTACCTACGCAGCCTGCAATCCTCAAGTCTGCCAACCCTGTGCAGCCTTCTCAGTCCTTGCCCCCTTTCTTCCTTTTAGCTAACTCACCTTGAGAAAGACAGGTGGCTTCCTGAACACACCAACACCTGGGGGGGTCCCGGTAAGGATGACGTCCCCTGGGTAAAGAGTGACAAACCTAGGGCAAAAGCAAAAGGGCCAGGTGAGACAAGGAGCATTGGAGGGCTCAACTAAGACTCCAAGTGTGCGGACGGGAGGCCCCCCCACTTACTGGGAGACCCAGGCTATCAGCTCCTCCGTCTTGAACACCATCTGGCTGGTGTTGCTGCTCTGGACCACCTCCCCGTTCACGCGGCAGCAGATCTTTAAGTTGTGGGGATCTGAAATGAAAACACCGTGTGGTCAGTCGCTCCCACATCCAAAAAGATGAAACTGTACAGAAGCTTCAACCTGCCAGGTGAAGGGCTCTGTGTGCCTAACTTGGACTGTACCCTGAGACTTCCTGTGCAGAAATGGCTCCCTGCATCCCCATCACTCCAGGCACCAAGCAGGAGGCACTTGGTTGAGTGAAGGGGTGGGGGAGAAAAGCAGCTGGGTTTTCTTTTTTTTGCCTTAAATGGACATCTGTCCACAGCAGAGGCTGACAACTGTAGCTATAAAAATGACTCAGCATCTACAGAACAGCAGGGCGATGGCTCGCGCAGGGACAGTAAAGCCCTGTGTTGCTGTCATCTGATGCTGGCTGGCAGCAGCCTGTTCCACCTGATTAGCACACACCTGTATTTTTCTTGGTGGCTCTGTGTGCTGTATCCCCCCTCGCCCCCCACAGGCAGAGCAGCTGGAACACAAGTGAGCTTTACCAGGGATTCTGCACTAGTGCTGGCAGGCTCTGCTGCCCTGGGAGTGGCTCACGCACGTGGCCATGCCACCTGCTGGCGCTCCCTATCCTTCCTTCCTGGCTGGTGGTGCTCTGTGTACACAGTGGCTGGCTGAGGTCCAGTTGGTGCTCCTACCTCTCCTTCTCTACTGTGAAAGTGAACAGGATTTTTTTGGTACCAGGACTGAACCCAAGGTTGCCTAACCACTGAGCCACATCCCCAGTCCTTTTTTTGATTTTATTTTGAGACAGCGTCTCACAGAATAATCCTTAGGGCCTTGCTAAGTTGCTAAGTTTGGTCTTAAACTTGCAATCCTCGTGCCTTGGCCTCCTGAGTCACTGGAATTACAGATGCGCACCATCACGTGCAGCTGAACGGCCTTTACCACAGTGATTTTCCATGTGGAAGGGCCAGCTTTGCTTCTAGTCCAGACAGGGGCAGCTGGAGGAAGCCTGGCCCACTATTGCTGCAGGGCTATTCTTTGCGATTCACTTTATGAATGTAGTTCTGCAAGCACTACAGTGTGCTCCCTCCAGGGGCTCAGAAGGACGCCCATGGGGACCTCGGCTGAAACTGTGCACTTGCCCTGTGCAGCGGCCAGGGAAGTAGGCTTGCATGTGGCTGCACCTGCACTCCTCCACAGAGTGCTGCTTTCTCCTGACGCCAAGTACAAAGACCAGGGACCCACCTGCTATACTGTCCTTGGTAACCAAGGCAGGGCCCAAGGGGCAGAAGGTATCGAAGGTTTTTCCCAGCAGCCACTGCTTCCCATTGCGTCTCATTTGCCAGTCCCGAGCACTCACATCATGGGCCACAGTGAAGCCAGCCACGTGAGCCATGGCATCTGTGGCCTATGGAGGCAGGGGATTTGGCCAGATAGGAGGTTACGTCATAGGTGACACCAACCCCTAGAACAAAAAATCTCAAAACAGTCATCCCAAGTTAGGTGGTAGGTAAGGCAGTGTCAGCAAGCAGGTAGGTGCTGACCATGTCCCACTACTAGGGATAGCAGGCACCCTTGTTTTGGGGAGTGTGGTCAGTATTAGCAGGGACAGAAGCTGGGGCCTCTGCTCCAGTCGGGCCTGTGAGTCCCCTCTTCCACTTCACCTTGATATGTTTGCCTTTCTTTCCAATGACCACGGCCAGCTCCACCTCCCAGTCCACCTCCTGTGGAGTGGAAAAGAAGCAGTGAGGGGGATGGGAACCAGTACAATGGTTCTCTCTAGCTGCAGGGGCCCTGGGCCTCAGGCCCCAGGTCCCTAACAGTGGCCTTGGTTGCCAGTCCACATCTAGAGTCCCCACAAACCAGAGCCAGGAAGTGCTGGGGAAGAAATGCCTTGTGGACCCACAGAGGCTCCGGCAGCGGAGGCAGCACCGAAGGCCACGGGCACAACTCCTCAGTGTAAAGGAAGAACAATGAGTGTCTGGAGGACTGAGCATAAAGTCGCTCTAGATGCCTGTAGCAGAGGATACCAAGTAACAATTGCTGACAATATGTGACCCTAGCTTGTTCTAAATGCTATGATGTATTAACCCAATTTAATAAGAAAAAGGTCAGCATCTTGGGAAAAGTGCTTCAATGAGCAATTCACAAAAAGAAATACAGAGTTATAAAATAGGAACAAATGCTCCACATGGCCCAAATTAGCAAAATACAATTACAAAGTAGATAGGACTTAGCCTTCTGAATTGTCTGCTATTTCTCATGGTGATAACCAAAGCTGGTATCAGTATGCACGGACTCCCAGGTGCTGTTCTCCAACACTAGTCCCCACTAAAAAGGACCAGTTCCTTGAGAACGTGGTTAATTCCAGGTGCAGGAAGTACAGAGGGGCCTGGAATGACAGCCAGAAAGCAAGGAAAAATGAGGGGCCTGGGAACCAACACAGTGGCCCTCTCTGCCCAGAGGAGGTTGTAAAATGAACATCTGAGCCAGGGAGTACAACCAACTGGACAGAACTCAAGAACAGGAAGTCACGGTGATGTTAAAGGCATGGAGGCAACTTTGCCTCTGCAGAGAAGAACACCAGCGAGTGAAGGCAGAAGGTGTCCAAGAACCATGTGCTACAATGAAGCAGGTAAGGACCCCAGGACTCCAGGAGGAGCCACTTGTCCCACACTACCACCCACAGATCACTTAGGAACTACAACAAGGAAAACACATTTCACAGGGGAGAGAGCTAGTGAATGTCAAGGAAACCAAGAGGTCACACTGTAGGACCACCTCATGTGAGCCTCCTGACAGGAAGTACAGAATTCCTCTGTAGAATTTTAGAAAGTGCTTAATGAGGAAAACACAGAACTAGAATGTGGGATGTACCTTGACAAAACCTGACTGGATTCTTGGAAAAGTGTCATGAGTTGGGCACAGTGGCACATACCTGTAATTCCAGCAACTCATGAGGCTGAGGCAGGAGAATTGCAAGTTCAAGGCAGCCTGGGTAACTTAACAAGACCCTCTCAAAATAAAAATGATGGGGGATGTGGCTCAGTGGTCAAGTGCCCCTGGGTTCAATTCCCAGTACAAAACAACAACAACCACAACAACAACAACAACAACAAAAAATCTAAAAGTTGGAAACAAGTCCAATAGTAGGTGACCAGTGAAGAAATTATGGCTCTGGTACAATAGAAAACGATGTGGTAACCTAAAATATGCCAAGGAGAATATTTAACAGTATGTATGAAAAACGTCCTTGGTGGAGTCTTAAGTAGAACATGCATGTATGTACAGTGTAAACACATTCAGGAGTAAAAGGACACTGGGGAGTAATACAGCCAAACACTAATAGCAAAAGCCCTGGGCAGTGGGAATATGCTGACTTAATTTTTAATATTATCTATGTTTTAACAGTTTTCTAGTTTTAATTACTTTCACAATCAGGAAAAGATGTCAGTTTCCCCCCTGAGGCCAGTATTATCCCCTGCAGTTTCTGCCTAATGCATTATCAAGTAACAGAATTTCCGCAAGTTGAATGTGCCCTTGTGACTGGCCCAGTGACACAAAGGTGGTGGGGAGGCACTGACCTGGCTCTCTGGTGGGAGGACCACCACATCGTAGGGCCCCACGATGGAGCTAGCAAACTTGCTGAAGATGATGGGTTCCTTGGGCACAGGCACGTTCTGTTCTTTGCAGTGGTCCACATAATTCATGCCCACACATACCACCTTGTCTGGCCGTGTGACTGGGGCTAGGAAGGTCACCTCTGACCGTGGGAGGACGGGCAACGGGGCTGTCAGGGCTCTGTAGAGACCAAGCAGGAAGAGGCTGGTTGGGAACAGGTTTGCAATCCTGGGCTGCCCCATGACTGGGGGCAACAGGGCAGATGGCTGCTTTTTAAAATATATTTCCTAGCTCTATCAACCATCAGAGTAGGTGTCCTTCGAGAATACTTTGAGCACTGTATTCATACAGTGTTTGTTTCCTTTCTCCCATTAGGTAACTCATGTCCATGCCGGAGAATCCAAAAGGCACAAATGGGAATACGTGGCAAGGTCTCTGTGACCCCTTCCAGTCACATGATGTCCCTCCCTGGAGACACCCTCTATGTCCTGAGCAGTTCTTAAGAACAACTCACTGATGACCTTTCCTCTCACCCTTCTGTACCCAAAATAGTGTACTGTATGCCCTTAAATAAATAAATAAATAAATAAATACACACACCACCATTTATTTATATATATATATATATATATATATAATTTTTAATTTTTTTTAAAGATCCCTCCCTCACAACAAATAGTTTTATTTGTCCCCTCTGCCACTGCATATCACTGCACTTCAGAGATGCACACAACTCCCTAGTGAGGGGCAAGGCAAGACACTGTTTCCACCCTGTGGAGAAAGTGACAGTATGGGAAAATGTTATCACCAACACCACATGCTGCCAAGCATTTTTGGTTTTGCCAACTTAGTAGGTGAAAACATCTTCAAGTGGTTTTAATTTTTGGGTCACCAATCCTTGAGCCAGATTTCACAGAGCTTCTGGCTTCAGAACGCCCCACTCCCCGACCCCAACTTGGGAAACAATAATCTCAGAGAAAATCTTTTTGCAGTCCCCTTTCCTATAAGGAGCCAGGAGTCTAAAATGCTTCCCATCCCTTGCTCCTGTAGGGAAAGGCTACCTGCTGGTGTTCCCCAGGTGGGGGAGTGTGGAGAGGGGGGACTGGGGCAGTGGCTTTAGGGCGGTGCTGCTGGCTGTCTTACCTTCTTGCCACTGACAAGGTGGCCTCTCCCTGCTCCAGGAACTGCAACATCGTCTTGGGGAGTGTGGGGTCAAATGCGTTGAGGTCAATGACCCCCCCATCATTCCCAGCCTCCAGGCCCAGGTGAGGCCCCTCCAAGTGGGGTGCCTGGAACTGCACCAGTCTCATGTCTCTGGAGGGCTGAAAGGGCTGCTTCCGAGCCTGCAGCAGAGCTGTGAGTAACCTCCTAACAGTGACCAGCATCAGAGCCTACAGAAGGAAAAAAATCAAGAGACAGGATTTCAGAACCACCACCAGGATCCCCAGGCCCCATCCTTGTTGGCACACTCCGTGGGAAGTGCTGTTTATATTATTTCACCTGCTATATTTCATGCAATGAAAACTTATTGGGGAGTGACTCCTTCATGGCAGGCTCTAGGCTTTCCCAGAGATCCCAGTGTTCCTTCAACCACTATTTTTTGAAAGTTTAGGATGTGCCTGGCAATGCTTTGGGCACTGAGGCAACAATGTAGGTCCCATGAACTCAGCCCTGCCATCCCGCTTACTGGGAGATAGGTGAAAACTGAAAAAAAAAAAAAACAAGAATCAGCTATTGGGCCTAGTACTATGAAGATGATCACAGCCTTGACCTTTGTCCAGCTGCTATAGGAAGTGCCTTGAACTGAGTGGTACTAGGAATCTTGACAGCGGCAGCCCCACTGCCAACAATGGCCTCATGCGATTCCTTAAATACTAATTTGATTCAGTTGCCCTTCAACTTGAAATGCTTCTTAGTGCTCACAAGTGCAAGCCCCTGACTTCTAGAGCAGCCCCCACCCTGCCTCTTCAGACAGCCATTATTTAGTTTCCACTGCTGGGGTTGCTACTGTCAGTGGGGCGTCTGACTTACAGCAGTGCTCTGTTGTCTCTAAAGGCAGGGCTTTCCTGCTGAGTTCATGGAGCTGAGCTCTGTGCCTGCCATACAGAAGACTCTCAGCGACTTCAAGGAACACATGACAGAAGCAAGGCCTTGACCTCACTTCTTGGGAGACATTGGCGACTGTCAACCTTAAAACAGATGACTGTGCCTTCCCTCAGATCATCTAGAAAATATCAACATGGTTCAGGAACCAGTTTGAATTCCACACTCCACTTAAAGACAAATCCCATCCTCTAATTCTTTTTTTTCCCCCAGTGGGAAATTGAACCCAGGGCTTCCCACGTGGTAGGCAAGTGAGCTACATTCCTAGCCCCTCCCATTCTCTTTATTTTGTTCTTAATCCAGGTAAGGTCTCTACCCTTACCACCATGTCCCTCTCCTGCATGGTGTCTTTACTTTTACTTTAAAAATAGTACTTGATGCTGAAAAAATGTGCAGGTAGCTCTTCGAGCTCTGAACTCTTGGTCCTCACCCCCTGAAGTCAATCTATCCTGCCAAAGACTCATTAGACTTAGGTCACCACTGTGCTGACCTCCAAGTTTAGCTAGAAAATCAGGGGCTTTGTGTCTCTTGCCCTGTTTTCTTACACAAGCACCAACCATGCCACTGTCAAAGGCTGTCCCAGTCAAAATGCATCCACTAAGAAAGTCTACAAACTAAAATAATAGTAATGGCTTCCACTGAACACCAGATACTGTATCAAAAGTTCCACTTAAAATGTCTCATTTAATTCTCTTGACAACTGTGTATGGTAGGCATTGTTAACTCCATTTTACAGACGGCAAAGCTAGGGCTTAGAGAAGTTAAAGAATATGTCCAATGTCCAAGTGTCACACAGTTAAGAGAAAGAGCTAGTACTTAATCCATGACATTGGAATCGAGTGTTGTGCAAGCAAGATAATCTATGGACAACCCTTCCACTCCTCCCAGGGCAATGCCTCCAATAGGAGATCCTCCAGAGGCCCTGTTATCAGCCCTATTTGCCATCGGTCATGAGTACGGGTGCCCAGGGACCTGCTGCCTCACAGATAGGACTAATCATCTGCTTTTCTAGATAACCCCAGGTCCCCAGACTTTGCTCTTCCCACATGAGAGTCACATGCAGGTTTGTTTCACCCCTCCACCAATCCCCTGGGACATGACGCCTGATTGTACAAAAGGGGGCATTGAGTCTTAATGAGGTAAAGTCACCTGCCAAGGTGACCCCGATGCTTCTGCAGTAACAGGCATGCCCCAGAGCCCGAGCTCAAGCCAAGTCTGCCAAAGAGTCCTTCAGCAAAGAGGCTGCAACAGGAGGTGGAAACCGCTCAAGCTAGGCGGCCTGAGACGCGGGTTTGCAGACGGACCCAGCCCCACCGTCTGCTCTCCTGGAATCGAAGTCGCTCCTTCACTTTGCTGGATCCCCAGCTCTAGGCGCTCACCAGGGTCGGCCCCGCCGCCCGTGGCTCGGAAGCGGACAGGTCTAACCGGCCCTCCGCGGGAGACACCCTCCCGGTCTGCTGCAGACAGAACCTACCTGGCCGCGGCTGCCGGTCCGACCCGGCGCCCTGCGCTGTGGAGTTAGAGCCCCACGGAGGTCCAAGGCAGAAGGAGCCAGCCAACTCGCCAGCCCCGCACTACACCTGAAGCGGACCTCAGAAAGCAGGCGCGCTCCGGTGACGTCACGGAGCGACGGGCAATAGAAGGCGCCCGTTTTTTTCCGGAAGCTGAATCGCGCAGGGCGAGCTCAGTGTTGGAGCGCCGGTCTTCCCCGGAACGTACCTTCTGACCTCGGGGCATCGAGGCGCGTAGACCGGACTTTTTAAGGGACGCGCACTCTCAGGGCGACCCAGTGCTTTCCGGCCCGCTCTTTCCGGCCGCCTCGGGGGCCTCCTCCAGGCTGGCTCCGTGGCCGCCCAGCCATCGTTCCGATAGATGGGCAAAGCGGTGGAGGAGGCCTGGTCCTAGCGCGGCGAGGGACGGATATTTTTGTCTTCTGATTGACATACGAGAAAGGGAGGGATGGTTATCTGTTTTACTCGTGGGGAACCTGAAGCCGGAAGTGTTTTGCCCGAGGCCCGAGTGGGAATGAGGAGCGGAGCGGGGACTTCCAGACCCCGAGGCCAGCCATTACCACCCATGTGCCCTGTGCGGGGCGCAGGGCGAGGCAGTGGGAGAGCGAGGCTTAGCCTTCAGCGCAGAGAACATTGCAGTGGAGAGGCGGTGTCATAAGGCCGGGCGAGAGGCTCCAAAGTTAATCAAAGACCAGATGGATCTCAAGGGCTGGACTTGTCCCACGAAAAAGCCTGAACCGTATCTGAGTGCATAGGCCGCCATTGGAAGCTTCTAATCAGGGTGCAATGTCCAGACTTCCGGAAATCTTCCCAGGAAAGGTGCTTTAGAGTGGTGTGAATGCGAGCCATTGGGATTTGGTTTTGAGTGTTAAGGGATGGTTAGGAGGAAGAACTCGCAGCCCTGGATGACTTTCCCGTGCCTTCCCAGCCTTTGACCATCCAGCCAGACCACTAGCAACTACACGCGAATTGAGGTTGAGCCATATCTAGGGCCACCTCTCTCTGTAGACAGCCAAATATAGTCTCAAAGTTTATCTGGGAGGACTATTCACCACTGACCCTCGGAGTCGTCCTTAAGAGCGGCCATCATACTGCCACGGAAAACTTTTGGGTGTTATAAAGTATATTGTGCAGACAGTCATGCTTGAGTTTTCTCTTTCTCAGTACTGACCCTAAAAACATACCTGGAAGCCACAGGTGTGGGTTGAGGGAGAGGAGTGAACACGACTGGCTTAGGTGTTAAAGGAATCTGAGACACCTGCTCTTGCAGCTTTACTGTACCTCCCACCCCTAACCAGAGCTCTTTTTCTTATTTCCCATTTCCACTTGATAAATTGCTGCTGCCCATGTCCATCTTTATGACAAGGTGGGTCTGACAACATTCAGGTTATTCTGGGAAGCTCAGGTCAGATGATTACCGGATATTTTATGGTTTGATGTTCAGTCTCTAGCAAAACCAAATAGCAACCCAGCTATTTCTTTAAAGGAGAGTTGTTATCTGCAGGGGCAGGTATAGATTATCCCTAACATCCCAGCGGTCTGGCCTCTGATGATCCTCCTATGGGTGCTTTCTTGAGTTTCCATATTGCAGAGCTACTAGCTATTAACTATTAATTGACATCATCTAATTGCAGCTTCATGATTTAGCCTTGAACAAGAGTCATCTAGGTGGACGTGGGTGACTTCCAATATGATGAGATAATATTGATTGATGATTGTTGTTCAGCATTGGCTGAATAGAGCAACATCCTCAGTGGTTCCCCTGCATCCATGCTGGTCACCTCCAATCATGTCCATGTTTCTGGGGGAGATTTCCAAAGCACTAATTTGACATAACACCCATGTTATGATTTGAGTATGGTTGGTCCCCTCTGAATCTTATATGGAAATTTGCCACAGAGTGAGGAGGTCATTAAGAGGGATTCTCATGGGATTGGCTTAGTTACCATGAGAGTGGGATGTTATGAAGTGAGCCCAGGCCCTCTTGCTTGCCTGTCTTCTGCATGTGCCTGTTTACCCTTCTGAATTCTGCCATGTTAGGAAACAGCTTGATGCCCTTGTGAGGTAGGGCTGCTCAGTCTGGCACTTCCCAGCCTCTAGAACCGTGAACCTAAACAGACTTCTTTATAAATCACCCTGTCTCAGGGATTCCGTTGCAGCAACAGAAAGCAGACAACGACACCTCATCAGTAGCTTCCTGCTACTCAAACCCTTTGGGTCTTACTCCCACCTACGGCTCTGCTCTGCTGCCCTCTCCCATTCCTTTGGTGTTAGCACTCAGCACCCAGCACTCTGGTTTCAGCCCTCGAAGTGCAGCCCCCCCTATCATGCTTCACCTGGCTCCTTGTCATCCTTCAGGCTCTGGGAAAATGCTGCTGCCCTTGGGGAGCCTCGTGTCATGTACCCTGCTCGGAGGTCTTATCTTCATTGCAAATACAGTAAAACATTGAGTATAAATTGACACTGTTTTGTATGATTTACTTTATCAATATCTTGTCTCTAAGAAACTCTAGGCTCCATAAGGGAAGGGTTTGCAGATATTCTGCTATTTTATCACCCCTTCCTGGTAATCTTTTTTTTTAGAAAAAAAAAAAATGAACAAATGAAGGAAGTAACGGCCCAGGGCAGAGCCTGGGTGAGGGACCTGGAGCGAAGGTGCCTCCTGCCTGCCTGCGTGCCTTCTTCACGTTGCTTTTTCCAGTTACTCGGGAGCAAGGAGGTGAGTAAGGAATCAAGTGTGAGACCGCATCTCTTCCTCGTGGGCCCCATTTGGTCTGCCCAGGAGAAACTTGTACTTGGGGGCTGGGAAAGTTTGTCAACAAAGTAAGGAATTGGAAAGTTTCGTAATCTCAGCTGGCTGTTAGGAACTGATGACCTGTTCTTTGGAGCCTTATTTTTCGTTTCTGGATGTTTTACTGTATTTGGTGATTTTTTAAAAAACTGGAAAACTGCTGCCTGGCTTCATTTGTGTGCTCTCAGGCAGGGACAGGGCCAGACGGGGCATGGAGAGGGAAGTGGCAGGAGGCGGGGCAGGGCTGGGGTGTGTGTGGGAGCCTGCTCAGGCTAGGGAGCCCCACAGGGCAGAGAGCCCCCAGAGGAGATGTTTCAAAGAGACTTTGATCCTGAGCAGCCTGGAGCTGGCCCCATGACCTGGCACACTCGGGGCTAATAGGTAGGGACAATGAAAAACCGGGAAGGGAATGAGAAAGAAAGCCATGCATGGAAAGCTTTCCTCTCCCAAGACAAATCCTTTCCAGATGCTGGCTGTAGGCAGGGGGAAGGGGTCTCATCACACGTAATGTGATCTTCTCTGGGCAACATTGATCGTCCTCAGAGTAAATCCTCTCCACATGGGGAATAGGGACCCCCGACCCAAAAGTCCAAATTCCTGAGTGCCCAAGAAAACTGATGTGCCCACTAGATCACCTCTCAGGATGACCCACATAAGCCCAGTCCCTTTCTTTGTTCGGGGGCTTTTTCTACCAGGAGAGTGAGTTCACTGGTGTCACCCTGTCCCTGCATCCCCTGTTCCTGTGTGAAGCTTTGTTCCAGAATAAAAGAGCTGGGCTGACTCATGAACTTTGCATCCAGCCCAGTCCTTTTGTGCTGTCGGGGCCCTGCGGCCTAGCCTTACCAAGGAACCCTGCCTGGCCTCCTGGCCAACTGTAGTGGCCTCTGTCCTTCTGAGCTTCAGCAGCATTTACTGACCACTCCCCTACCCTAGGCCAGCTCTGGGGATGAGGTGTGAACGCCATGGCTCCTGCTTGCAAGGTGCTCACAGTCTGGCAGGGTGACAGGGCAGGATTAGATGGGAAGGAGTTCACCTCTCTACAGCTGACCTTGACCCTAGCTATTGGTCATTTTCCAGCTAAAAGTACTAAATATCCAGTTCCCACTGGCTTAAGGGAGGGAGGTCTGGGCACTTTCAGTGTTCCAGTAAGTGATAAGGAGAGGGTGGTGGGGAGTCACTTAAGGTACAGTTTGATTTTGAGTTTCGGGGCCCACGTCCCTCTGCCTCCTGGGCCTGGCACCCTCACCAGGATTCCTGCTCTGACTCGAGTCTCATGGCTCCTTGAAGTGAGGAAAAGCAAGGTCGGCTCCAGGACTCCCACACCCTTGGCTAAGAGGGAGCTTTTCCCGGCATTCCTGGCAAAGGGCTCCCTGGGCCTCATTGTCTGTGATTGGGTGTGTGCCCACCCCTTGATCAGTCATGACGACCTGGGAAAGACCATGCCCACCAGATGACATTCCTCATTGCCTTCAGGTTGCCCAGGGATCTAGGCGAGAGAGGAGTTCCTAAAGTCCTCTTATTGAAAACGGAGCACAGGGGCCATCTCAGGCACAGGGATCCTGCGTCAGTGTGAGAAATACGAAGTCTGGTGGTCCATTTTCAGAATATAGTATTTAGCCTTAAATATAAAATTGGGATCCCATTGTAAGATCCAATCATAGCCATTTTGAGCTTCCCAACCTGTATCCAGCTGTAGCCATTTCGACTACAGTCCTTCCCTTCACAGGCCCTGATTTTAAAATGAGCCGATCTTACAGATATAGCCCCGGCCTCCTCCTGTCAGAGTGAGGGCCGAGCTGCATCAGATAAAGACAGGACAGTGAGGTGGACAATACTCAGAGCAGGCCGAGCAAGCTGAATAGAGGGGACTCTGTTTACACCCCAGAGCATAGGGACAAAGGCAGTATGGCTGGGCCCTGAGTGACAGGAAGCCAGGCTCCTATTGAGGAATAGACAGAACAAACAGGTGCCCAGCAGAGGCAGGGAGCCTGGGTCCGGCCCTGAGGAGCTTGGTGGTCAGCCAGTGGCAGGGGGTGGGTGAACCTGTCCTCAGAGACCTGCTCATGAGGAACCTGGCTGCTTTCTGGGACCATAGGGACCTTCTCTCAAGCCCACTCCAGTGCAGGGCTCCTCCCGCCACCTCCCTTGCTGGCCGAGCATGAGTCTGTCTCCCTGCTCTAACTGCACGTGGTGATGAGCAGGTGGGGCGAGAGACCTTCTCCACACCTCCTCATCTTGGCCCCACTCAGTCAGTACTTCTGGCCATGCTGGCTCTGGACCCGGGCCACAGGCACCATTCCCTGTGCAGACTGTCCCCCTCACTTTTCCAATCCCTGACCCTCACAGGACTGCATTCCCTTATAGCAGCTGGCTTGGACACACCCAGTGATTGAAACTCACCCTTGTGTACCAGCAGTTTCCTCTTTGGGAACAGCTGGCCTTTGGTACTCCCCTAATCTGAAGAGCTGGGCCCAGTGGGTGAGGGTGCTGGGAGGGCCCGGTACCTGCTTTGGACGTCACTGGACTTCGGGGAGTATCTGGGATGGAACAGGTCCATGGGGATAGAGAACAAGGAGCTCTGCTCAGGACGAAGGAGGTCCTCAGCAGGAGGTCTCAGTGGAGTGTGCCTCATGGGGTGGCAGGTAGCAAGGAGGGCTCCCCAGCACTCTGGGCACACCCCTACTGCTTCCTACCCTGAGGAGCACCCGCAGCCCCTGACTTGGAGCCAGCTCTCTTTGGTTTTATTCATAGTTCTGCGGGAATCCAGGTCTTCTGCTTCATTCCCTGGCAAGCTTGGTCTTCATCCTAGGTCCACAGTAACTTCCCGTGTCACTGATCACTGCCTTGGATCTCTCTCTGTGCCTTCTGTGTCTGTCCCCATGGGACTTGAATTCCCCACAGCAGAGATGGTGGCAAGCTCATTGTGGTCTCAGGTACAGCACCTGCCTGGTGTCCAGCAGGTGCCTGAGGAACTGACGGGGCCTCTCTTGGTTTAGCCCTTGGAGGGCACTGTGTGGTGTTGTGCCTGGCGTGGAGGAGGCAGGATCCCACAAGAAGCAGACTCGCAGTTACCAGATGCTCAGGGTGGGCCAAGAGCTCTGCAGCCTCATGAGCTTCCTTGGCCACCGTGAACTTGGCCAAACGTTGTTCCTGACCACCCCAGGCCGCTGGATGAAGGTCAGAAACACAGGAGACCTGTGACTGCCGAGAAATGACCTGAACTGGGAAGGGGCTGGTCGTTTTCAAGTTCAGTCCTAGGAGAACGCACCCTCAGCTGCTTGAGACCCAGAGTCCAGGGGACCTCTTTCCCCTGGGGTCCCTGACAAGCCATCAGGACCTGACCAGGGCCTGTGCAGGGTCTCAGTGGGGTTTGCAAGCTCTCTTGGGGACTTAGAAAGGCCTGGCAGGTTCTGTGTACGAGGAGTTGTGTGTCCCAGTCAGATGTATGAGTGGCCATGTGCGTCCTGTTTAATAAAACCATGGGCAGAGTCGCCACATCCCCTCACCCAACACCTGGCTTGGTCCACTTGTTAAGTGTCCCTCGATTCTCTTAGTGTTTTAGGGGGGAGACGTGTGGAGAATGAGCAGAAATAGGGGACTGTGAAGGAAATGACAAATAGCTTCCCTTCCATACAGCCTCCCTGGGGGACGCCAGACCTGAGGATGAGGTGGAGATGTGGGGTACAGCCACCACCTGGTGGTCAGATGGGGACACAACACTTGGGACAGCTGCACAGGGAGGAGAAGCCGGACCCTCTGCACTGCAGACCAGCCACTTCTCTGGGAAGCATTAGGGAAGGGCAGGGGTCCTCAGTGTTCCCATTCTGTGATGTCAAGGTAGCAAGGGGCCCCATGGGCCACAGTGAGGGTAAAGGAAGTGGGCCATGCCACAGGATGCTCCGCCCTTACCCTGGGCCCTCTGTGGCTGGCCCGCCTAGCTATGCAGGGACCAGTAGCAGGTGGTTGAGCATGTGGACAGTGAATTACCTGCTGTGGCCTGATTGGTGTGACTGCCCCTCAATAGCTGGCTGGTCCCATGGGGGCTTTGGAAGAACTATGGAAACTGAAGACCCTCTCAGACTTATTTTTAAGACCAGGAAGCTTCTGAAATGTCCTTTTTCTGATGGCTTATTGATGGGAGTCACCCTTCTCTAGGAAGGGTAAAACACAAAAACTTCAGTGGGGGGGGCAGAGAGTCCCATTTATTAAGGGGCTAGATTAAGAATTAATTAAGACACATGTTAAATTATCATAACAACTCTGCTAGAGTTGTTATGATCAGAGGATTTTTCTGTTTACAAATAAGGAAACTGAGGCTAGTAAGATAACAGAAAATTCTAGAATGGAAGCAGGGGCCCTATGCCCTAGATGTGGTGTGGCACGTGCTGAGGAATTTTCCCTGTGGGTGGTGTTATCAGGGACTTAATTCTTCCGAGTTGGGGAGGGGTCCCTCTACAGCCCCACCTCTGCCACCCCAGGGCATCCCTCCACCCATGTCTAACCTGCACTTCTGTGTTGGGGCAAGGGTGGGGAGCAGCAGGATCCTGGCGCTTGAACTGATTAGAGCAGCCCTGACACCTGTCCCAAGGACAGTCAGTCCATTGGCTGGCCAGAGGAAAGCCAGGCCCAGCAGGAAGGGCAGTCTTCAGGTCATCAGGGTCCTGGGGGTCAAGGGGAGCTTGCCCTCCAGAGAGAAAGAGGATCTGTGGAGCAGGAAGACTCTGCACACGGCACCAGAGAGGCCGAAACAGAGAGCAGACAAGTTGCACAGAAGCAGCGCCCAGAGCAGAGCGTGTCCAGGACCCAGGTGGCCCAACCCCTCTGTGGGAGCTGAATTTGGTACCTGTACATGTGCTCATTTAGCACTTGTTCTATGTATGTCTGTCTCACAGAGGAGGAAACTGAAGCACAGAGAGATTGTGCAGATAGCCCAGGGTCACACAGTGAGTGCATGCTGAGCTGGGGTTTGAGTCCTAGCAGACTGGCCTCAGAGTCACTACCCTTGATGACCATGTCACAAGGACGTGTGTGAGCTGCTGGAGGCCCCGTGCACTCAGAGCTGATGCAGGGTCATTAGAACTGCCCCACAATCCTCATTCTAGTCCCTCTTCCCAGTGGGACCACTTACAAGGGGCCAAGCCCACCTGTCACACCTGCCCCTGGCACCTGGTCCAGCTGGGTACTCAGCCATCACCATCTCTGAGCCCCTGAGACCAGAGACAGCCTGTGTTTGTCACAGCTACTTAAGTCCACATCCTGTCTGTCACTCTGAACCCACCCCCACCTGCTTGGTACAGAAAGAGCACAGGCTTGGGGTCAGCCAGAGCTGAGTCCCCATTCTGTCCTCACTGGTCTGGGTCAAGGCAGCCTACCCCAGCGCCTGGCCTCAGTTGTGTCTGCTGACCAGCGTCTGCCCTCAGGGATGAACCCTGTACACCCAGGGCTGTGTGCTGCGTGCTATGCTGGGGACCCTTTGTTAGTAAGGTGACCTCCTTACCATTCCCAATGTGACCATGGATGGGGGAGGGGCGAACGTATCCATGCTTTCTGTGCATCTCATAAAATGAGTGTAAAGTTGTTTTTTTGGATTTGTTATTCCAGTATCTACTTATATGTCAAAACTGATCCCAAAGGTAGTGGCTTCAAACAACAGCAGGGATATTGGTTTGGCTATCCATCTGACGCGGGGGCCTGGCTCAGTCCCCTCTCTCCCCTCATTTCTGTCCTGTTCCCTGGCAGAACCCTTGAGTTTACTCTCAAAAATAAACATCAGGAAAGGAAGGTGTCTCGGGGCTCCTTTGCTCCCATCTGCCCTGTGACCTGCACCCTCCAGCCACGGGGACACCCACAACTGACTTTCCTGGAAACAAAAGAATCCTGGGGATGAAGCCTCCAGAAGTCACTCTACTCCACCGGCTTTGCGTATAGGCTCCGGGGCTGGCTCTGCTAGAGGGTCCCCAGGCCCACCAAGGACACCTGACTCTTCCAGACTGGGCCTTGGCGACATCACCCTGGGAACTGGGGATTTCAGGGGTGTCCCTCCCATTGAGCCAGCTGCCAACATTCATCAGCACAGCGTGAACTGTGGCTGGGAGCAGCAGAAACGGCCCACATTCAGAGTCGAGATAGATAGAGCCAGTGAGAGTCCCTGTCCTTTCTCAGGTTTATTTTATTAAAATAGACAGGACAGAATGTGGGTGGGTGCTGGGAACAGGGGCCACCAGGCCGTGCCCAAGGGAGGCGCTTCTGCCATGCAGACATGCCGCAGCCTGCGTCCCAGCGTGGGAGACAGACCCCTCCTGGCGGACGTGCAGCCACGAGGCCAAAGGGGCAAGGGCACGGCGGTGACCCTCTCCTGTGGCCTCGGCCCCCACAAGCACAGCCACACCAGCTGGAAGGGCCGGGCCGGGGAGGGGAGGGATCCCTGAGCCAGGGAAGCAGATGCCCTCCTGAAGGGGAGGGGACCCCAGTCAGACGGGAGACAGGGTGTCAGTGCAACTCTGAGGGCGAGGCCCACCTTTCCTCTGAGGGCCCTGCTCACCCTGGGCCAGCCTCCTGGGGACACCCAGGGACTTCTGGAGCCAGGCCTGAGCCGAGGGGGCAGCAGCCGTTGGATGGAATGTATCGTGTGGGAATGTCCCTGGAGGCCCGTGCTGCCCAGGACAGGGCTCTTACTCAGGGAGGCCTGGGCAGGTGGGAGCAGCCTCTCTCTTCCTGAAGGTTCTGTCAACCAGCCACCGACTCCCAGTGCTCCAGGCTGGCCCCTGCCTTGCTGACAAGCCTCATCCCCAGGGCAGAGCCTAGCCCAGCCCAGCGGAGTCCCTGGGTTTGTGCTTTTGAGTGTTGGTGAGCTGTGCTGGGAATGGGCTTCAAGACCCCATGGCTCTGAGGCACAGAGGGGACCCCTGAGTTGGTTCCCCAGAGCCGCCCTCATCCAGGCTGCTGGGACCCAGAGCTCAGCGTGCCAGGAGCTCCTGGCCTCCAAAAGCAGAGTGTCCTCGGCTCCCCTTGGGGTGGCCTGAGCCGCAGGGTGCTTGTGCTTTGTGTACAGGGCTGGGTGAGGGTGGCCACAGAGCTCCAGTGGGGCGCGCAGCCAAGCTGCCGGGCCAGGGGGCAGGAGCAGCAGGAGAGGAGGGAAGTCCCTGCCCAACCTCTCCCAGCACGTCCGCTCCCTGGCTGCCAGTCCCTGAGCCACATGACTCCCCCAGGACGTGAGGACTGAGGGGAGAACAGCCTGGTGCGGGGACGATGGGCACCCACTGCATTCCCATCCGGACAGGAATGGGTTCAGGGAAGCTTCTTCCTGCCTGGTGGAGGGGACAGGCAGTTCCCCCCTCTGACACTCCAAGAAGCAACCCCCAGGCAAGAGCCCCAGCTGCTTCCTGGCATGGAGGAGAGCGAGGCCAGGGCCCTCACACCCGAGCTAGCCTCACAGTGGGTGGCCTGGTACAGCCCCAGCTCCTCCAGGTGGGTGGAATGACAGGGTCTCAGGATCTCAGGGAAGTGGTTCTAGAAAGCTGCAGGCCCCGCCCCCCCGGCCATCTCTTCCCTAGCTAGAGCCCCTCTCCATCAGCTGGCTCTCCAGGGTCCTGCGGTGAGGCTTTCTGGGAGGCCAGGAGTGTCTGGGGGAGGCCAGAGGAATACTGGGGCCAGGCCCCTAGGAGGCGGGCTGGGGGAGGTCTCAGGGGCTCACAGGGGTTTTTGCTTTGGAGACCAGGCTGCCCATGCCCAAGGCTCTTAAGGACACTGGCTGGTGGGGGCTGAGCCCCTCCTGACTCCACCACCCTCTGCCAGCCCAAATGAACCGTGTGTGTGTGTGTGTGTGTGTGTGTGTGTGGAGTACACTGCTCACTTTTTGCAAATATATTACAAAAAACTTTGTCATGGAGGCTGCTCCTGGCAGGATTGAGGTTTCCTGGGGGTGAAGTGGCAGCAGCCACCCAGGTTTTCTCCCACACTTCCTAGATGACGTTCTCAAACAGCTGCATGGAGCTCATGATGTTCTCATCCTGCGTGGAGAGAGCAGTGACCTGGTCAGGCACTGGGTGGACAGGGCCGGGGAGAGGGGTCCCCAAGCCCACCCACCCAGGTGGAGTCAAGCCAGCGATGCTATCTCGATGGGTGGGTGGGGGTGCTGAGGAGCCAAGACAGGGCAGCGGAGACCCCTGCTGTCCCGGCACAGCCTGTCTGCAGCTCTCAGGCCCGACAGACCCACAGAGAAGTCCCTGGCTGCACATCCTGAAGAGGCTGGGTGACCAAGAGGCCAGCCACTCGAGGAGCAGAGTGGCTGTGAGCTGGTGGGGGCCTAGCACCCTGCCCCGGGGGGGGTCTCTGAGGGAGGCTGGCTGCAGTGTTGGGGGGGCTCTGGGTTCATTTCCCCAGTGGCCCTGTCCCCAGGGTTGCTGGGCTGATCACCCTCTTGCTGGTCTACCTCTGTCCGCTCTGATTCGAGGTGCGAGGAGGGAGGGCTGAGGGAGGGTCTTCACAGGTGGGCGATGGGCTGGCAGGAGCAGGCCAATGATTGGGAGGGTCCCCAGGGTGCTGATGGCATCCTCCCTGGGCCCCCACAGGGGCAGACCCAGGACATGTGTGAGGTGAGAGCCCGGGTCACCCTCCCCCTGGCATCTGGTCCCCAGCCCACCTACATCTGGTTCACCCTCCCCCGGGCACCCCGTCCCCAGCCTACCTACCTTCTTGGGTGATCCTTCCCCGGACACCTGGTCCCCAGCCCACCTACCTTCTGGCAGCTCTCTAGGAACTCGTCAATGGTCACCACCCCATCCTGGTTCCGGTCCATTTTCTGAAACCCAAGTCATATCCGAGGTGAGTCTGTCCCCCACCAGGGACAGCCCTTGACCCCAGCCTGAGGGAGCCATGGCAGGGGGGTGGAAGCCCCCTGCACCCCAGTGTGTTCCTGTACCCCTGCCCTGGGTGTGTCTGTTGTCCACCCCAGGGCTGGCCTTTCCAGCGTCTGACACCTGCGTGCTCCACTGCTTCCGGAAGACCCACCTGGGCTTCTGCCTCCCTCATTCTCCCTGCTCATCTGGGCCTCACCCCCCAGTGCACTCAGGGCAGAGGAAGCGACAGGACCCAGAATGGCGAGGGTCTAGAAGCCCCTGTGAGTGGGAGCCAGGGCCTGCAGCGCCTTTTGCCACGTGGGCCCCAAGGCCACCGTCTGCCAGGTTCCTTCGGGAGTTGCTGGAAGTGCTCCCACAAGGTGCCAGACCATGGTGGGCACGTCGGCTGTCCCACAAGCCCCAGCCCAGCCTGCCTGAGATGAGGCTCCGTGGGGCAGTTCTTCAGGGAACAGTGACCACTAGCCAACTAGGGAGTCAAGCTGGACACCCCTGGGGGAGTGGGAAGGCCCAGCGAGGGCAGGAGGGTGGCCCCGGGATGCCCTGGGGCAAGTTGGGCTCTCTCCGCTGGGCTCCCTCCCCTGGTGCCAGGGCAGGCGCCGCCCACCTGGAAGAACCTCTCCACGTGCTCCAGAGGCGCATCTTCCCGCAAGATGGGGTAGGTGTGGCGGCCCATCATGTCATAGATGGACTTCATGATGGCCAGCATTTCCTGGGAGGCAGGGCACAGAAGGGCTGGCATGAGCTGGTGTGGGTACCCAGAAGCTCTGAGGACCCCAGGAGAAGGGGCTGTTTCAAAGGACAGTTACCACCTCTAGTGGGTGGTGAAGGACCAAGAGAGACCCTGAGAGCCACAGAGAGACCAGCTCACCCTCATGGTCACCCAGCACCAGCTTCTGACTCTCTGAGAGGTTTGACAGAGATTGTCATTTGCCACTCTGGAAGCTAGACACTGTATCAACTACTTCAGATACCAAAAAAAAAAAAAAAAAAAAAAAAAAAAAAGGTATTGCATTTATCTACAACCAAAAAAAAAAAAAGTTTTTATTTATTTTTTTTTAAGGTCTGGTCCTGTCTACACTTCTACCTTAAGAGACCACACTGACCCTCTCTCTTGGGAGGGGCCAAGGCCAAGTCCCCTACGTCTGCCCTGACCCTCTCTGTAGCAAAGATGACCAAGAACGCGTATTGGGCCGAATCGAGAAGTGTGGTAGAAGCCGCACTGTATGCCCAGGCGTCCAGGACTGAATGGGGGACAGGAGGGCCACCCATGGAGAGCCACCAGGAGAAAGGGTGGAAAGAGCAGTCTGGTGGGGAGTGGTGATGGGGACGAGGGCAGAGGGCCTGGCCCGCCACCAGGTACCTCCTTGGTGATGTAGCCATCCTTGTTAATGTCATAGAGGTTGAAGGCCCACTTGAGCTTCTCATGTACCGTCCCTCGCAGCAGGATGGAGAGCCCGACCACGAAGTCCTGCAGAGGAGAGGAGGGCCAGGAGTGACCACCCAAACCCCGTTCCTTCTCCTGTTCACTGGGAAGCTCTTCTGCAGGGGTGGTGTCTCCATGAGAGTGGGGAGGACGCCGTCCCTCTTGGTTGACATGTGTGAGCACATGTGCCTATACCAGCGGGGCCTGTGTCCCCCGCCTGGGTGCTGCCATCGCCTGTGGGGCAGGACCCAGGAAGCATTACTAAGGTGACAGACATGGTTGTTCACACAGCTTCCATGTGCAAACACCAACTGGTTATGGCAGTTGACAGGGGGCACGTCTTTGCGCCCACCTTCTGCAAGGTTAGAAGGCTGAGCCCCCTGCCCCTCTGGGGCTGCTCAAAAGAAAGGGGTTCTGCCTGGGGAATGGGGGTGCAGGTGGCTAACTGTAGCGCATCGGAGGACTCAGTCCCCACTCAAGTGTCAGATTTTCTGGGTTTGAGAAAGCCTGTTCCACCAGAGGGAAAAACTAAGGGGAACAGAGGAAAAGAATTTGGATGAACAACGATGATTATAGGAGAAAAAAATTAACAAAAGCCTCCAGATTCAGAGTATAGAAATCTTGCCTCCCTAAAATAAGAACAGGGTGCTATTGGAAAAAAAAAAGAGGTATAATTGGAAACAAGAAAGAGCTCTTGGGAATTAAAAATAAGAAAGCAAGATGACAGACTCAGAAGGAGGTTGGAAGGGCCAGTGGGGCCTTCCAGAAAGAGCTGGAAGACAGAAAGGAGGACTGCGAGGGCCCCCCTGGGAGAACCAGAGGGTCCAGAGCTGGGGGGCTTCCGAGGAACCGAAGCACCACGGAGACCCCCTTCAAACCCCAAGTCTTGTGGCCAAGTCAGAAGGACTTCAGACGTGTCACTCAGAGCGACAGGCATGAGTTTATGGATGAGATAGGGAAAAGGGCAAGGGACCCCCTGAAGGGAGAGGGTGGGTCCTCTTGTTCGTGGACAGGCAGATGCGAGTGGTGGAAACTGAGGTTACAAGAATAATTCTGTACAGTGGCCCCACTGTGCTGACCCCCACATGATTTCTTTTCCAGGAAGCAATTTACTTGCAGTTCTGCCTGACCTCAAGAGGAATCCACCTTACCCTGAAGGGGGGACTTTTGTGACCAGATCCTGAAACTCTGGGAGATAAGGATAGTTCCTCCTGGCCATAAAATCTGTAAGAATGTATGGTTAAGAATCCAATTAGAACCGCTCAGCATGGGCCAAGGTGACCTAGAGATGCCATGACAGCGGGAACTTGAAAGTCTGATGTCACCCTGCTGTCAGTCAAAAGCCAAGAGGTAGACCTGGACAGAACTTCCTGGAACTTCTCTGGGATCCCCAATAAAACTGGAGTTTGGGAGAGGCACACTGTCCCTCTCCACTCTGAGAGGACCCACCCACTCTCTCCCTTGAGGGTGTCCCCTTTCGCTTTTCCTATCCCTTTAGTAAACTCATGCCTGTCACTCTGAGTGACATGTCTGAAATTTCTCTGACTTGGTTGCAAGACTTGGGGTTTGCAGTGGGGTCTTTGCAGTGCCTCAGTTTCTCCAAAGGCCCCAGCTCTGTAACAAAAGGAAAGAGCGACACGGGTCAAAGAGATCAGGAAAGAAGATGGTCAGGAGGAAGTCTGTGGGTCCCTGTGAGGCTCTGCTGGGTGTGGCATTCACATCACTGGGTGAAGCGGAGCCTGCACCCAGTGCCGGCTGTAGCCTGCTGGAGAATAGGGAGTGGGGTGCATGGCCTGGGAAGGCCTGGCTGTCCACCCCCCACAGAGGACCAGGACTCACCTCTGAACCAGAGGGTCAGGAGGAGCTCCCAGCATGCCACGGCGGACGACAGGCTCAAACAGGACGAGGCGGTTCCCAGCACACACCCTCCTGGGACCCACAAGCTCTGCCATGGGAGGCCACGGTGTGGGGCCTGCTCAGCAGCCATGCTTCTGAGGTGGGCCCCGGGGGCACCAGCACCACCTTCTGCCATGGCCCGCTGCTAACAACCAAGAAGTGTGCCTACCTGTGTCCCTTAGGGGTGACAGTACTAGGAGATGGAGGTGGCAATGTCCTTTGCCAGGCTACTGGTGGGCCTCATTTGTAAAGGAAATACGCAGGTGATCCTGAGTGTGGCTAGCCCAGGTCTGGGCATGTTATGGTTTGGATGTGAGGTGTCCCCGAAAAGCTCATGTGTGACACAATGCAAGAAGGTCCAGAGGAGGAGTGACTGGGTTGTGAGAGTCTTCATCCAATCTGTGAATTAATTCCGATAGGGATTAGCTGAGTGGTAACTGAAGGCAGGTGGGGTGTGGCTGGAGGAGGTGGCATTGGGGTGTGGCTTCGGGGTATATATTTGTATCTGGTGGGTGGAGTCTCTCTGTTTCCTGATCACCACGTGAGCCTCTTCCCTCTGCCACACTCTCCCGCCATGAAGTTCAGCCTCACACCAGCCCTGAGGAATGGAGCCAGCCTTCTATGGACTGAGACCTCTGAAGCCGTGAGCCCTTAAATAAACTCTTCCTCCTCTACGGTCGTGCTGGTCGGGTCCTTTAGTCACAGCAGCGGAGAAGCTGACTCCGAGTGCATTGCTGTTCTAAAGTTCAGGGCCACACAGCACAGTTTCTCATCTTCACTTATAACTCCTTGTTCTGGTCACCAACACCCAGGAATCCTGTCATATTACAGCTCCTGCTCTGCCACTGTCTCTGAGGCCATGTCCAGGGAGGTGCAGGGCTCCTATGGTGTCCCCTAGACCCAGGGGACACAGGAAGGTGCGTGGCAGAGCCCAGGGCAGGTGCTTGGCTGGCAGTGGGGGGCCAAGGGTGACTATCGGGGTGGCTGGCTGCCCTCATCAATGACACTCATCATGACCAGGGATGCCCAGCCTGGCTGATGGCGTGGTTTACTGCAGGGGTGGGAACAGAGAGGTGCCCATGCCTTCCAGGTGGGTCCTGGCCAGCACTTTCCAAAGGTACAGCTCAGCCAAGGCCACATCCACCCTCGGTGGCCCGCCTGTATCCTGGGTACCGAGAAGCAACAGCCAAGAAGAACTGTTTAGAAAGCTCTGTGCCTCTCTGGCCAGGTGAACCAGCTGAGTTAGAAAGGCCCGGATGATGCGGAGGGTGGAAGGGAGGCCCACACCAGGCTCCCTGCTGCTGGGACCGGAGCAGGTGCCAGACCCCGAGGCGGGGAAGGGGACTATATCTGAGGTTTGCTGGCTCTGAGGTTTCTTTCCTTTTTTGGTGTTCATTTTGGGGAAGGCAGAGAAGTTACACTATTTCATTATCCCAGTAAATTGTAATGAATGTGTGTCTTATCCCCAAGCACACTCAGAAAGGATGGGGGTCATCGTAAGTATTGATAAGCTGACTTGACTTTCCATTTTAGGGGTGCATGGAAGGTTCTGGAAGCCTGGAAGTGAGGAGGGCCATGTGCCCTCTCCTTCTTTGAACACGGCTTCCTGGGGGTGAGCACTGACATCAAGAGGCTCCTGGGGGGTTCCACATGAAGCCAGGGAAATGCATTTCATCCGCAGAGACGTGCATGGAACCCTCAAAAAGACACCAGGAGGACGGCCTTCTACAGTGCCCAGCAGGATGGCTTCCGCACCAGCTCCGTCTCAGCCTCTGACAGACCACCTCCCACAAAGACTGCCTCCAAGGACCCCAGACCTCCCTGGGGGGAGTGTGGCCATGACCCTCCTGAGCATTCCCCAGCACAGGGCCCTGCGAAGCCGTTCCATTCTGAACAAGAAAACTGCGTCCCGCCACGCCTGGCTGGGCCTTGGCTCTGGACTCTCTCTTCCTCTGCTTTTCCTTCAGAGGTCCCCGCTGCCTCTGAGAGGCCACGTGGGAAACTGGCCACCAGGGATGGGCAGGAGGAGACCAGGAACCCCCATCACTCTGACGCTGACTGGATCTTCCCTGTGCTGTGGCAGTGGTATTTGGGTGATACTGAAAATAAAGGAGATGCCAAGGCCGGGTGCCACACAGGCCGGGAGCCCTGCAAGTGCGGAGGTGGTGGGGGGGCTGTGGTCACAGAGCAAGGCCTAGGCCTGGGGCTGCCCCAGCCCATCTGTCCTGTGTGTCAGTGTGTGGCCGGCACACAGTGTAAAAATAAACCAGGTGGTGCTATCGACGGGTTATTATTACCCCGAGCTTCTCTGCTGCTGGCAGTGGCGCCCTGGCCCTGGAAGCCGAGCTGCCTGGGATCGATCAGGCTGCCTCCAGCAAGGTGCTCCTCTCTGAAGAGGTTTCAGTGTTTTGCCTGCAGCTATTTTTAGGGGCTCAGGCTCCACAGCTGAGGCCTCTCTCAAATGATGCCCTGGTGGCCAGGCCTGGGAGGAGCCCCTGGTGCAGAGCAGGCAAGGCCCCCTGGGGGACACTGTCTGTGGTGGTGGCCGGGGCCTGGCTTCCCCTTGTCACACTGGGGAACCCTGGGCCTCGCTCTCAGCCTCCAGCTGGGAGGATGGCCTGGGGCCCACTCAGGCTGTTCTCCGAGGGTTTCTGGCCTGCTTGTGCAGTAACTAGGAGCATGGCACCCCACGCCCAGCACCAGGACTCGGTCAGACCTGACCCCTTAACATGCACGTTCACACGCATCACAGCCACTGCCCATGTAGGAGCAGCTGGGCAGAGCTGGCAGCCAACTCCTGGAATGGAGGAGAAGACTCAGAACAGGGGACCTGGGCAGCAAGGTCCAGCTCCCTGACCTTCTCTGTGTGTGGCACGGGCCAGCAGGGACCTACCTCGAAGCGGATGGCCCCGTTCCCATCGGCATCGAAGGCGTTGAAGAGAAAGTGTGCGTAGGTGGTGGCATCTGGGGAGAGCAAGGGTGAGGCCGGGTGGGGACGTTGGATGTCGGCAGGCCCACCCGCACCCTGGCCGCCCCAGGGAGGGGGTCCCAGCTTTGCCTGGGGCAGGAGACTCTTCAAAAGGGACAGAAGCAGTGCCAGTCCTCCAGAAGGCAAGCAGTGGCACCAGGGTGTGGGTGGCAGCTGGATCTCCTTCCCGCGAATGGGATGGGGGCGGGGCTTTGGAGCGCCCCGCCCACCTCGCCCCGGACTCACCTCCCTGAGGGAAGAACTGCGAGTAGATGAGTTTGAAGGTGTCCTCGTCCACCAGGCCCGTGGGACACTCCTGCAATGGGAAGTCACCCCCTCAGCCATCCTGGACAATCCCTGCTCCAGGCCAAGTCCACAGCGCCTGGAGGGCTGCGCGCTGCCGAGGCCCTGCTGGCCCTGGGTGGGGGCTGCCCCCTCATGCCAAGCTGCTCCACATGTTCTGCTGAGGAGCACAGTGGCCGTCACAGCGCCCACTCTGGGGCCTGCCCACCCCAGGCAGCTATCCACAACACGCGAGCTCCGGAATGCCCCTGTAGTATCCCTATGCTTTGCAGAAGTTTCTAGGAGGTTCCCTGGGCCAGGGTCCCTCCTGCTTGGATGGGGCTGGGCAGCCAGGCTCCTAGGGCCTCTCCACAGGAAGCACTCACGTTCTTGAAGCCCCGGTAGAGTGACTGCAGCTCCTTCTTGGTGAACTTGGTCTGTGCCTGCAGCTGGTCCAGCCCCTCTGGCTGGTGGCGCACTGTGGACAGTTCCAGCTCACTGTCACTGCTATCTGGAAGGGACACAGACCCAGGAGGGAGAGACATGTGCTGTGGGCAGGTGCCAGGGCATGAGCTGAAACAGGGCATTGAGGGACTCTCCTTGAATGACACCTATGGTCACACAGGCTGTGCACTGAACAAATGGAGGGACTGTGATAGAATGGCATGCTTGGGGGTTGTGCCTCACAGCTTCCCTGCTCACTGACAGGGCCTCCCCGCCTGCCTCACCCTCAGGGTGCCCCCCACTCTCAGCCACACAGTGGGAGAGGCACCAATCAAGGGAGACAGGAGGAAAAAGACAGCAGACTAGGCAAGAGGAACCCTCGACCTTCAAGACCCTCTTCTTAGACCACCCTTCCTTGAGGCCCTCCCGACTTGCGGAGGAGTGGGGGTGCTGCTCATGGCCCACTGCGAGCTCACATGCTGCTATTTGGCCACATCTGGCACAGGGGTGTTATTCTCATTTGGGGAGGGGGCCAGAACTCCAGACCCATGGGGCAGGGACCAGACCTTTCCTTAAAAAAAGAAACCACAAGAAAACACAAACAACGGCTACTACCTTAGTGGGGAGAGGGAATTCTGAGCAGTCTTTACTATTTGTGTTTTTTTTTTTTTAACATCTTCCTGATTTCTTTTGGTATGGTCACTTTTACAATAAAATAAAGCTGTGAACAAAAGAGCATTGTGCCCCCATGCCTTGTTGGACAGCAGGTTCACATGGGAATGTCACTGTCCCACTGCCAGGGAGGCACGGCCCCCAGGCAAAGCGTCTGCTTCCCCTGCACCATGCAGAATGGTGAGTCAGGCTTGTCTGCAGAGCCCATCCTGCTGTTCCCTGCAGGGGGCGCTCTTCAGGGGCCTCCCACACTGTTGGACCAGAGCCCAGGATGCCTCCCTGGGCTGGGCTCCTGAGCAGAGCTGCTCTGGGCTAGGCGATGAAAGTACCCTGCTTCGTTTCCCTGGTCCATGCACAGTCCAGTCTCCAAGGCAACTACTTCCTGTCTTCCTTCTCTTTAGGTCTCCATCCTCCTCCCCATCTTTACCCTGAGATTGATCCCTACTTCATCAAGAAAACAAAAACCACAGAAGGAATTTCCCCAAGCTCCTGCCAGCACACCTGCCCACCTACCTGCACAGGGCCCAGACTCTGCTCTCCCTCTTCTGTCCCTGCGAAGGCAAACCCTCCTGCCTGGGCTGTGGGTCTCGGCTCCTGACCCACTCAACCGTAGGGCTCCAGCAATTCTCCCCACTTCCTCATCGTCTTTCCCTCCTCCTTTCCAGATCATCCCCATTATCAGATGAACATGTTGATAAGTCTGGCAATCCTTAGTCAAAGGGAGCCTAGGCAAACCGTGTAGCCAGCAAGTCCACTGTGGGTAGACACACCCCAGAGGCTCTTCCCCAGCTAAGGGGGTCTGTATAGGAAGCTCACAGCAACAGTCTTTTCCAGGGGCAGGTTGGAGACAGCTCAGTGGTCTATCAGAGCAAGATCAAAACGCAGAGGACCCAGGCCAGGGAGAGCAGGTGATCCCATGAGCACAGAGCAACACGTGGGTGGATGCCAAAACTAAGGTGTGTCCTTCCATTAACAGGCAGAGTCTTCAGATTGCATCAAAAAACAAAATCCTGCTATATGCTATCTACAAAAAGGATGCCCTTAATACGAAGATGCAGACTGTGGGTAAAAGGATCAAAAGCTGGACATTTCCTGATATACAAAATTCATTTCATCCAGAAGATGGAATAATCTGAAATATAATGTAGTCGCCCAGTAACAGAGCTTTAAAATACCTGAAGCAAAAAACCTCAGAACTAAAAGGAGAAACAGATTACACCCTAACCATAGCTGCAGACTTTAACATCCTTTTTCAGTAAAGGGCACAAGTAAATATATGAAAGATTTAGAAGCTATTATCAACCAATTTGGCCTAATTGATATTTATAGAACAAACGTAAAATACACATTCTTTTTGAGAGCACATTCTGTGGTCATCAAGATACACCAGATGCAGGGAAATAAAACAGACTCTGACCACAATGGCAATAAGTTAAGTTCAAAACAAGATATTCAGACTATCTCAAATATTTGGAAATTTAAAAAAAATATACTTCTAACTAACTCATAAGCCAGAGAAGAAAAACTGCAAGGTGAACTTTGAGTTGAATGATCATAAAAACACAGTATATCAAAATCCGCTGGGTGAAGCTAAAGCTGTGCTTAGAGGAAATGGCGTAGTTTTAAATTCCTTCACTGGAAAAGAAGATTGGCACAATCTTGGGGCTCCAGCAATTCTCCCTACACCTTGAGCTTCCAGAGCTAAGCTTTAAAATCTAGAAAAACCAGAGCAAATTAAATTCAAAGTAAGTAAAATAAAGAACATAGTAACCATAAGGTTAGAAAACAATGAAGAAAGGGCTGGGGATGTGGCTCAAGTGGTAGCGCGCTTGCCTGGCAGGCATGGGGCGCTGGATTCGATCCTCAGCACCTCATACAAATAAAATAAAGATGTTGTGTCCACCGAAAACTAAGAAATAAATATTAAAAAATTCTCTCTCTCTCTTAAAAAAAAAAAAGAAAAGAAAAGAAAACAGGCACACTCAGAGAGAAACCAATCAAGTCATCGAGAAATGCAGTGGGCAGGTCACAGACGCCAGATCACAAAGGACTCATTTCCAGAATATATAATGAACTTCCTCCCATTTTTTAAATAGGCAAAAGACTAGGAACTTCACAAAAGAAGATATATAAAGGCCAATTAGCACAAGAAAAGTGCTGACACTGTCAATCAAAGGAGTAAATTAATCCAGTTCAAAACACAAAAATGCCCAGTCATCTATAATTCTAAAAACACCAAACACCCGTGAGGATGTGAAGCAACTGGAACTCTCACATGCTGTTGATGGAAGTGTGAGATGGCACAACCCTCTGGAGAGCAACTTGGCAGTTTCCTACAAAGTTAAAACACACATCAACCTTGACCTACTTACACAAGGTAAGCAAAGATAAAGTGAAAATATTCTTCCACAAAAAAGACTTGTTCAAGAATACTGATAATAGCTCTATTCTTTTTTATATTTTATCTTTATTATACTTTTTGGTGGTACTGACGATTAAACCCTCCTGATCTACATCCCTAGCCATTTCTGTTTTTCATTTTGAGACAGGATCTCACTAAGTTGCTCAGGCTGATCTTGAACTTGCCATCCTTCTGCCTCAGCCTCCTTTCTTCCTTTTTTTTAATATTTATTTTTAGGTGTAGATGGACACAACGCAATGTCTTTATTTTTTAATGTGTGGTGCTGAGGATCGAACCCCGGTCCCACCGGTGCTAGGCGAGTGCTCTACTGCTGATACTGCTGAGCCACAATCCCAGCCCTGTTCTTTTCTTTTTTTTTGGTTGTTGATGGACCTTTACTTTTATTTATTTATTTGGGGGGTGCTGAGGATCGAACCCCATGCCTCATGCATGCTAGGCAAGCGGTCTACCACTGAGCCCTAGCCCCAGCCCAGCTTTATTCTCAACAGTCCCTAACTGGAACTGACCCAAACAATCAGCAGAAGCATGGAAATGTGGCACATTTATTGTAATGGAACACTAGTCTCCATTTAAAAAAGAAGGGACCATTGATACATGTCACAATGTGGATGCCGCTCAAAAATATTGTGCCGGGGGAAAGATACCAGATGTGAAAGCGTTTACACCGGCGTGACTCCGTGTATACAAAGGCCTAGGGCAGGCAGCGCTAATGGCACTGTGATGGAAAGCAGCGCAGCAGGGGACGTGGGGGGGCACGCTCGTCCAAACTCAGGGGACTGAACTGAGGCCTCTGTGCATTTTGTTGTATGCAAATTAGACCCAAATCGACAAGAAAAGACTGAGGAGACTTCTGCTTTCGGTGGTGACAGGACGTGAGCGCAGACTTACCTTCCCACTGCAACCGACTTTAGAACTGGAAGAAATATGAGAGGAGAGTGTTTTCGGGGCTGGATGACGGCACAGGGCTGCCATCGTGGCCAGCAGGGAACTGAAGCGAGGTCCGCAGTCCCCTGGGACGTCTGCTTGGAGACAGTTTCCAGACCGTGGCACAGGGAGTGGGACGTGAGCTAAGGCGCAGCTGGTAAGGCTGGGAGGGGAGCTTGGGCTACTAAGGCAGGTGGAGTGTTCAGAGCAGCGTCCCGGGGAGGAGCGGCCACAGGAGTCTGGGTGGGCCTTCCCCTGGGGGTCTTGACCAAAGGCTGGGCTGCAGGATGAGACTCCACCAGGCCAGCAGAAGGTGGCTACTGGGACCGGGGAAGGTGGGATGAGGGGCACAGGGACATATGGGAAGTCATGCAGTGGTGGGACCAGTTGGGGAACTGGCTCAGGCAGAATGTCGATACCCTACCTCAGGGGTCAAGATGAAATTCCAGAAAAGCTGTGCTTTAGGAGTGAGGACCCTGCCTGAGGAAGAGCATGCTCTACACCTAAGGGCAAAATAAATATGAACCGCATCTGGGGAGAAAGCCTAAAATAAATTCTACAAAAATCAAGCAATCTGCCAGGCACATGGTGCACACCTGTAATCCCAGTGTCTCAGGAGGCTGAAGCAGGAGGATCACAAGTTCAAAGCCAGCCTCAGCAACTTAGTGAGGCCCTAAACAATTTAGCGAGACCCTGTCTCAAAAAAAGACACAAAAAGGGGCTAAGGGATGTGGCTTAGTAGTTAAGCGTCCCTGGGTTCAATCCCAGTACCAAAAAAAAAAAAAAAAATCAAGAAATCTGTCAGTAACTTCTTAAGTGTCTGTCAAAATTCAATAGATTTATATCAAGATATATAATTTAGACAACATAATTTCATAGGCCATAACATTCATAATGTCCAACATAGAATAAAAAATTAAAAGACATGAGAAGCAGCAGGAAAATGTGATCATAATCAAAAGGTAAAGGAGTGAGCAGGATTAGTAGATTTTTATAATTGGACTTATTATTAGAATTACTAAAATGAGCTTTAAAACAAACATTACCAC